CTTTTCTGTAGTTCTGTTCCTGAAATCTCCCCAGGTTTAGAGCTTTTGTAAAATATCAGGATGGGTTCTTTGAGTACATGCGAGTCTCCTGTTGTCAACCTTGTTTTAAAGCAAATAAGAGATAGAAGGAATGAATAAAATAGGAAATATGGGCCTCTGGAATATTCTGGCTCAGATATTTAGCCAGGAAAAGGTTGATTTGGTACATACAACAGGTATGACTAAAAGCCAAGTCCTAAGTCTATCAAGCAGACAAATTCCTATGATGAGACATTAAGATCCACAGTGCAGGCACACAATCGCACTTGTCTTCTGTCCCTGTTGTCAGTTGATCTGACATAAGAGGATGTGTTATTGCTGTCCCCACTACCACTATTCAAGTTGTACAAGCTTTAGCATGGTGTAGAATTAGATGGAAATGAGAGATTATATGTTGAAATTTATCTTAAAGTGCTTTGCAGATGAGTTGCCAAATAGGCATTTTGCCATAGCAGCCTATTACTTTGGTACACCTGGCTGCATGTCGGAAGTAATATGATTGATATTACTGATGTAGATATTATGACAGGGCATAAGTGTCCCTGCTTCATCCACATACAGTGCTTCCCACAGGTGAGGCACTGAATCATTAAAACTATAGATCTGGATTAGATTGTTATAATTCAAAATTATATTTGAAAGTTTGCCTCATTTATCTGTATGGTTATGCATAAGTGGAGCAAAGTATACAATATATACTTTTTTCTTGACTGGAGCAGTTCTGTGATAATTTCCTTTACCTAAGGACTGACCTAATGTGGCTAAATGTTGTAATGCTGATGGACGTTGAACCTAACCTAACTGAGCATTGAGGAGGTAGTAGTATATTAAATGTGAATTAGCCTGTCTTGTATCTAATGGATATATCTTACATATGCAAAAAAAAAATCATGACTGAGGAAAACAAGAATAAGAAATGCAAGCAGATCTTTTTTGCTTTCATAAAGCTGAGTTTCATTAGTTTGTAAATGCTGCTCTTACTATTGAGAATTATTGGAAATGAATTTTGAGGTAATTTAGGGAATTATGGGGATTAAAGCAAGATGAAATACTGTACAACTTTTCAAGACGATGTATTAGGAGCTGGCGCAGTTCTGACTTATAGTCACATGGGTTTTTTTTTCTCAAAGCGCAAGTGAAGGACTGCCAAAGCAGCAGTAACAGCTGGAGTTTAGAGCTTTCTGAGGAAAGATTGTTTCACTTTATTGTATGTAGTTGTTGTTATCTGCAGATGCTGTTGTTCCTGGATCCCCCGAGATACCTCATGCAGTTGTATAACAGAATGACCCAAACTGGCCCAGTTTTTCTCCAGCATTAGAACATTGTCGATGTGTCAGAGATGTGCACTTGTTCCAAAAGACGCAGGGAAAGAGACCTCGCCTTAATGCATTTGCCAAAAAATGGGCTCCACTGGTCTCGCTGTATTCCGCTTGCAGCTGAATTGTGTGCTATCTCTTTAAAGCAAGTATAATTTTCTGAACTGGCTTGGTCAATTTGTTATGGTTTAAAACTGTGGAGCCAGCTGTCTGCAATCTGATGTAATGTTGCCATAGAAACTAGAAATGAAACACTTAAGCATTCACTACAGAATTTCTGCATCCAGCATTCGCCAAAATAATTAAAACTTTAGCCATTAGTGGATTTGAGGAGAGAACAAGAGAGACAGACAGACAGCAGGGAAAAACCTAGTGGACTCATGGATGAAATTCAAGATGTTCTTGTTAACAGTGGTGCAAATCCACGTTTTGTTCCTTTGACTATCTAATGAGGTCTCTTCATAGAACTAGTTTAGGGATAGATATTTATGAATGGTGATTTCAGATTTTTGGCACTGTACTATTAGCTATGATGAAATATATTGCAACAGGTTAGCCATATGCACACCAAACTAAAGCATTCAGAACTGTTGTATTGTAAGAATCTGAGGAAGTAGGCAACTCAGAGTCTACCTGTGTGTAAAATGCCCTTTTCTGAATGAAGAAAAAACATTTTCCTACTGAGAACCATTGAATAGAAAGCAGAGATTGTACATCTGTATTGCTGTCTTATTTAATACAGGGTGAAATACTTGATGTGTGAAATTCACCCACACACCCTCTTGGGGCACATACAAACAACATGTTCATTACCTCCAACTATTGTGGTCTCATTGACAAATATTTTCAAATAAGAATCCAGAACGTTTCCTTATTAAATGTGAAGTTATATTGTATTGTTCATTACTAATGGTAATGTATCGTCTTATCTAAGACATATTTACTGAACATCGACTCCCTAATAGAAATGTATGCGCAAAACCAAGCATATAGAAAGCACTGTGTAAATGTTTAGTTATAATGTTTTCAGGTAGTTAACACACATACAGGCTATAAAAATAATCTAATAGGAAATAATACCCATTCATGCAGTTGCAAGTTGTCAAATTAAATAGCATATTATTTCTCAGATGTAGGCAGTGCAGGCTTACATACATCCAGTGTCTGGGAAGAGCACAACTAGATATTTTATTTGCTTAAGTATTCAGTAAACTTCTCTTGATAAAAATAGTTGTCTTCTTTTTAAAAACATGGACTAATTGCTGTTGTATGACTTCAAAAATCACTGGTGGCTTTGGAAGAATTGAGGGAGACTATATTATTGTCAGTATTGATTGGATCGAATTGTTCTATGAAAAATCTCCAGAGTAATAAAGGGTTGAATCCATAGCACCATAAGTAGTGTGAAGCTCTCTGACTCCTCTCCCACCTCCAGCATCAATCCTGTTCTTGGGAATTGGGGCCCTCATGAACAGCATGTGGGTTTGCAGTGGGAGGCAGGCAACTGGCGAAAATCACCCCACAAAAGACACACTGCTGTGCTAGCTTACAGGGGTGATTACACCAGCAGAAGAACACCTTTTGATCCAAAACATAATTTCTCCCTTATATATAATTGAGTAAGACGCAGCATCACGCAGCAAAGAGAAAATGCGCACCAACAGTGTTTGGAGGGCGGAACTGTCCTTCAGAAGCTTCCCCAGCTTCCATTGGCCGTGTCGCCTAAGTCCCACCTCAGAACGCAAAGGCTGCGTCACGCAGCGGAGAGAAAATGCGCACCAACAGTGTTTGGAGGGTCGAGCTGTCCGTCAGAAGGTCCCCCAGCTTCCATTGGCCGTGTTGCCTAAGTCCCACCTCAGAACACAAAGGCTGTAGCCCTGCCTCTGTAGCTGGTCCCCTTAGACGTCAGACTACTGCTGACAACCACCTGGTGGGTGAGTGGGACCAGGGAGCACTTGAAGAGCGGCGCCTGACTCCCCCCCAAAAAAAACTAGACAGGGCTGGAGGGAATCAGTGGAAGGCCGGTGGCGGTGGCAGCTCATCACTGCTCGCCGCGGGCAGATCCCCCCCCTTTATCCCACCCTCTCTGTCTGGCTTACTGACTGTCTATGTCTCTCTCCCCCTCACCCTTCTTTCTTCCTTCCTTCCTTCCTACCTTCCTACCTTCCTTCCTCTCTTTCTCCAAACCCATCTATCTATCTATCCATCTACCTATCTATCTACCACCCACCCACCCTACCTTTCTAGGACCCATTGTCTTCGTCCACAATGAGCTTTGCTCCCTAGTTTATAATAATAATGCTCAGATTTGTAAATAAACCAGACTGAGGATGTCCAAAGTATCTGTCCTGTCTTGGCCTGTATAATTAGCTCAAGGCTTATGTGTTTTGTAAAAGTCATTAGTAAGTAATGTCTGTTTTGTCAGGCTTAAAACAGGACCAGTAAATAGTGGTACATTCCAATATGGATACTTAGTTGACCTGAAGTTCACTGACAGGAAGTTCCTTTTGAGATTTCTGAGCTGGACGCTGGAAATGTGATGAATTGGTCAGGGCTATATATGAAGGCAAAGTGAGGGATACAGTCTTTGCAGATTTCCAGCTGGAATGCTCCTTGGAATGTATTGTGTACAGTGGCAGTTCTGTGCTGTAAAAGCAAAGAGAGACCCGCTCTTTCTTCCTCCCCTCCCCCTTTTCCACACTCTCACACAGAGATTCTGAACAGGGTGAAACAGAGGAAATAGTATATTGAGCATTAGGTCCAGCTTGAAAATAGGAGCTCTGATTTGGTTTACAAGGAATGGATTGTTTCAGCTCTGTGGTGTCGCTGCTGCTAGAGAGGGTGGATTTTTTTGGTCTCTGTAATGTTTGATACTTGAGGGAAAACAGCTGGAACTGAGCATACTGCATCAGATGTGAGACAAAATGGGATGTTGGGGAATATGGACTATACTGCCTGTAAAGGTCAGAGTTTTCCTTTGGTCAGTTCTAGAGGAATGCTGTGTCTGTATTAGCTCCAGTCTTGAGAATCTTTAGTATGACGAGCTCTGGACTGGGGAAGGAGAAGATATTTCCGTGTCTCTTTGTAGCTCATAAAACAATCTGGAGAAGACGAGATCTCCCATTTCCTTTCCCTTCCCTTACCCCCCCTTCATTTTTCTGCTGCTGTTTTTGATTTACTTAGAAGTCTGGAAAAAAGTAGTCAATGATAGAGTTTCAGTTCAGTTTTGAGGAGCTGTTTATAACTGGTTTTTTAAACCTTAAGTTCCTCCAGGCCAGACAAGACCAGTGCCTGACCCAAACCACAGGAGCGTAACTAGCAATGCTAAAAGAGTCCTGCCTGAAATGTACTCAGAGACAACGTGGAAATAGCTATTATTACACAATGTGTGGAGAGGAAGACCAGGGCTGGAGTGCATTTTGGTGCCTGAATCCTTACCTTGTGCTAATTTGGTAGTAAAAATGGTATGTCTTGCTCTTTTTAAAGTAGTTGGTAATTTCTTTCTTTCTTTCTCTGTCTCTAGTTTGAAAATAACAGTTTTAAGTTACAGCGTGTGTCTTGTCTGCAGCATGCAGTAAGCCTGGAGAAAGTGACTGAGATGTGGAAGAGTTCCTTTACTAACAATTCCTTTCATTTCTTTGCTAGTCAAGAGAGCAATCGGATGATGAATCGGAAGAATCGGTGAAGTTTAAGAGACTGCATAAGTTGGTCAACTCAACTCGCAGGGTCAGGAAGAAATTAATAAGAGTAGAAGAAATTAAAAAAAACAGCTCTGAAGGTAAGACCCTAGCTAATCGTGCTAGAACTGCATGAGAGAGGGTGGGGCAGGTACTGTATTTCTCTATTAAAATGTGCAAGGAAAAATGGTAAAAGGAGTAAGTGGGGGAAATCCTTGATAGAGAATAATAAGAACTATGTCTGGTTGCAATCATATATAATCTCATGTGCTATGTTAACGCTAAACGGTTAGATGCAAAGAGCTGTTCTGTGAGTGGAAGATAGGCTGATCACACACATACCCTCTAGCTATACCTCCTGCATTATATCTTGTTCTGGTCTAGAAGGTCCACCAACCAGGGCTTTTTTTATGGGGGAACGTGTCAGAACCCCTTCGACAAACTTCTTTTTAAAAATGTTTAAAAGTTCATGAGTTTTCATGTTACAGATTGAAAACTTTATTTCCCTCTTGAGAGTTCCGGCACCTCTTTTTTTAAAAAAAAGAAAGAAAAAGCAGCCCTGCCTCCATCCATCATGAGTAGCTTTTTGGGGAGGGGCACAGAACTGAAGTGAGATGGAGGGGGCAGGAACCTCCATTCAGTGAACGGAATTCTGCTTATGGGTGCTTGGATTCAAACCAAGGAGCTTTTATGTTTTACAAAGAGTGGAGGGATCTCTCCGATGTGTGGATTTTTATTGCTAAATCGATTAGCACATTTGGATCTGTATCAGGGAAGCACTGCAGTTCTCTTCTGCTGCATGTACTGATGGAGACTGAAAGAAAATACCAGAGATTCATGCTCCCTCTGATTATGCCAAGGTGATCTTAGTTTCCAAGACCATCTCTCAGTGATTAAACATACTACTGAGTATAGGCTCAAGGGATCTGTGGGGAGCATCGTATTTGGCAGACACAGAGCATGGCATCATGCTTTCTGGTAAACCCAAATAATTTTCTGTAATACACTGTTGAGAGTTAACTGCTGCTTCATATCACTCATGTTTCTTTTCATTGAGTTTTAGAAAGGCTCCAGCCATGGAGTGACTCTTGAATGCTGTGCTAGAAGGGGGAGGAGTATAAGGCAAATTGCAATGGGTTGGAGGCCAGTGGGTTTCTCATGGGACACCGAAACATCTGCCTGACTAGAGAGCCACTCCCTTCAAACTCTGCAAATTAGGCTTTTGCTAGGGAATAATGTGCCTGTCAGGAAATTCATGTGGTTTACTTGAGAACATCACAGTTTCTTCCGCGTCAGAGTATGATTTAACCTTTCACAGCAAAATGCACTGGAAATGAGATTTTACTCCCTTTGGCATGTGAATGATTATGTTTTGTTAACCTTCTCCATCCCAAAAAAGACAAAAAGCATACATAGCTCTTTGTATACAGAGAGAGAGAGAGATACAGTTGTGACGCAGGTGTTAACAGTGGTTTTTTCTCCCTCCTGATAGACCCACTGGCTACTAAATGCACTTTAAGGATAGTAGAAATGCATTAATCATATAAAGATAATTAATTTGTGTATCTGCGTAATATTCCATGTGATCATTGTAGCACTGGAATGGTTCCACCTGATCACAGTCTTGTAAGACACTTGAGATATCAAAGTTTTAGCTGGTGCCAGAAATCTGATGTGTCTTTAATGACAGTAGAAATGCATGAGGATTTCTATCTGCCTTCCAAGCTGTTGTCACTAAAGGCTAGGAACATTGGAGGCAGTCTCACATGCTATTTTTATATGTGCCTATTAAATCTATAGAGTTTTTCCTTTAACAAAACTGAGAGTGTCTTTGGTTTCAGTGGAACATCCTTCCTTCATATAGAGAATTGGGCTATGTATTGTTTTACAGTGCAATTCCAAACTTTCTAAGCCCGTTAATTTCAATGTTTTTAAAAGGGTGTAACTCTTCTTAGGATCGCACTGTTGGCTACATAATGAGAATTACATGTGGTTCTTCAATTAATCTTGGACAATGCTATGTCTTCAAAAGATATTTACTTCACACTTTTTGCCAATGATGGTATTTCATGTGAATCTCTGTTGCAACCTTCCGTAGTACAGCTTACAAAGTTTTTGTAACTGATGAGACACAATGCATGCATTCTATGACTTTAATATAAAATGGGTTCAGTGAATGTACTGAATCCCAGTGGGAACTGTATTCTGTTACACTGAGAAGAAAAACAAGTTATTAAGCTACTGAACACATAGTTAACATGCTGAAAATCTGACTTTAAATCACAATAACTGGAACATACAGGCTTAAAATTATGTTTTATCTGACATCATTCTTGTCAGTTCTAATTCTGTTCCGATTATGATGATGTGGTGTGCAGTTTTTCCCCACTCTATCCATAACAGAAGAATGGAAATAGAAACTCCAGCTTTCCACACCTAGGCTAGTGAAGATTCTATTTAACCCTTACCAGTTCCTTTTATTCATGAATTTCAGTATCTTCAGCCTGGCAGCTATTATTTACAGAAAAATGAATTATTTTACTAAGCATTCTGTTTAACTCTGTCCATGCAGCAGGAAAAGACCCAGTGGACTCTCTAGTCACAACCCCTTCTTACCATGAACAATATATCCTGTATCTAAAGCATCTCCAATAGATACCTGTCACATCGGTCTCCCCCGCCCTACCTCAATCTCCAGTTCTTCTAGTTTAAATCTGTTTCTCTGGCTTGATTCATAATTGCTGGTGTCCCTCAAGTACATGCCTGGGAGTCTAGGAATGCGGCCACTGTAATTTCCAGGCAGTAGCACTCATTTGAATCCTGTCCTCAGTAGATTAATTGGTTCTTTCTTTCTGACAAGCTTTGAAGTACTTGAAAACTGTAACCATCTTCTCTTTTTACTCTAGAGAAGCCCGCTGCCTTCTCTCACACATCTTGCCTTCTGTATTCTGTATTACCTTCGTATTATCTCTTTTCTAACTTTGCAAATTATTTGCTGTCCTTTTGTAGCCAAAGTGGTTTGTTTATTCTTGCATATTAAGTAGGATGAAGATGTTTGGTTTGCTTTTTGCTTTTTCAGCTCTTTTGCATTGTACTTTTCATAATTTTGAAGAAGTGTTTTACTACAAAGTGTTGTTGTTCTTCCTTTCATGAAATGTATGTTGAGATTTTGTCACAGAATTGAAGGGAGGCTATTGAGATGGATATGCCAGTGCATCTTCTCTTTACCATCTGCATTTTTCTAAGTTATGTACAGCTTGTTCCGTTTTTCAGAAAAGACACCCCCACACACACACACACATTCTTTGACTGAAAGTGATACAATTTTTTTTCCTTCCACCATGTGTCTCTTTTGCAGCTTTTTATTCAAGTCTGAGTGGGATAAGAATGAAAGCTAATGTGATGGTTTGTTCCATTTTTAGGGGTGGAAGAGCATTCATTTGACAGCTCTCCAGTACCAGATGACAGATCAGCACTTTATTCTGGAGTTCAAAAGAAGCAGTGCTACTTGGATAGCTCTTCTGAGAAGCAACCAGATGATGACTCAGACTCACTCACCACGTCTCCTTCATCTAGCAGCCTAGACACTTGGGGTACTAACAAGAAGTTGCTCAAGACCTTTAGTAAATCTGACAGCCGTGGCCTTATTAAGCCACCAAAGAAGATTGGGACATTCTTCTCCTACCCCGAAGAGGAAAAAACTCCAAAAGTTTGTCGCTCTTTGACAGATGGGGAGATGAAGAAGAACCTCGGCTCTCTGAGCCATGGGGTAAGTAAAGAAAGTGTTTGCTTCTATGACAACAGGCGCAAACACCATGTCCTGGTATCCTTTGAGGAAATTCAGAGTGTCAGGAAACATATCAGACTGAAGAAAACAGATTCTAACTACTCATGTTCTAGAGCTTTTCTCTGCCAGCGTCCTGCTAGGAAAAGCATATCCCCTTCCATTTGTGACCTGCAACTGCTTCGTCACAAAGCCAAAGTGGGAGGAGGAGGAGGCTGTGGCTTCCCAAACAGAAGGCTCCGAGGGCGCAGTTCAGTCAGTGAGTTCAATATCACATATGTGGTGGAAAGAAGCCTGTACAGTCACCTCAACCTGTCACATCTGGTGCGGCCTGTTACTGACAGGACTCTGAGCAAAGCTGAAGAGCAGGATTTGAGACGATGCCTGCTGGAGGAGGAGGAGGAGGCGGCGAAGAGGAAGTGGGCTGCCACAGTGGACCGCTGTACTAAGAGGGTTCTCTTAAGAATCCACCAAAAGTCTGTGAGTCCGAGAATTATTGCCGAAAGGGGCCTACCAGTTCCTATTAGGTTGCAGTCAGCATTGCTTGCTTCTTCATTATATTTTTTTCAACACTTTGTTCCTCGGGTTTTTTCTTCTCACCCCAGCGGGGAGGGCGGGGTATAAATTGAATTAAATAAATAAAATAAATAAAATAAATTACTTGCCAACATGAAGTTCTAGTAAGTGCTTGGACAAAATGTTCTGGTCCCCAGTGTCAAAACTGGCAAAATTTTAAGAGGAAACTCTTCTAATCAGGATAACCCAAAGTAAGAAAAAAGCGTGTTAATGCAGAAAAATGACGTTTATATTTCAATAAAAATAATACGAAGATTTATATTTTAAAGAATCCTTCTTTGGAAGATTTCAAATACAGTGTCCGTTATCTAAAAAAAACACACCTGAATACCAGTATAACTATGTATTTAACATATGCAAATAGTTTTTATGTCCCTGAGGATAATTGAGGTTTGGATAGTGAAAGCTATACACCAAAAGCAACAACAACAGAAAAAGGAAAGAGATGAAGATAAGAGGAATCCCTGCACTATACTTTCTGTACAAAGGTATAGCTGTTAAAGCCCTTACCCTAGATCCAGCCTGGTGTAGTTGGAAAACCAGTTCTTTTTCTCGTGTATAGTCAGTTTGTTTTGAGTGCTTCTTGACAAAGAAGCCAATAGCTGGTGGACTTTATGAGTGCCATGACTACATACAACGTATATAGAAGACTTGATGGCCCAGTATTACATTCAGACACATCAGAAAGATACCACATTATAATAGAGAGAGGAGCTGTCTGATGGGGAAAATTGTAAAAACTTTTTCTAACCAGAATCATAGAAATGTCTACCTAAGAATTGTCAGGGCAGTCTACAGTCCTATCTCGGCTACTTTTGTAGTCTATTAGATGTTCTTAGAGCGCTGGACTAGATCAACAGTTGGTCTGATACAACCCAGTTTCCTTATATCTCCTAAGGTATGCAATCACACTGGGTTTCAGTGGATCTCGTATTCCTTTAACACTGAGTAAAGAACAGTTCATTTGTGTACTTAGGAAGGTAGGGAAGCACTTTTGCTAAGATTTCATAAGACTTAAGGGAGATGTTGGTGGGAAAATAGCTCTGTGTTAAAACAGTCAGTATTCTAAGAGGCTTTGTTTTATAAGGGTCAGCCTGTAGTAAATAAAAGACCTACATAATCTTTCTGGCTAATTTATAACTAGCTTTGCAACTATATTTGATATAGTGGTCAGTGCAGAGTATGTTAATTTCTACGCAGAACAATCAAGAGCTCTCCTCAGCTGTTTCATAAATTAGTTTATTCTGCCTTGTTCACAAAATATATTTCTCAACTTATATATTAAATGAATTTGCCTTGAATTTGAAGATTCATAATACATATATCTAAATAGGTAGGGTAACATTCTGTTTCCTTTCAGGAACTTCTAATTTTGTCCCATAAATTATTCTGTTGCCATTCCATAGGCCGGATTTTCTGATGTGCTACTTAGGATATGTTTAGCTTATTCACATAGGTGTGTTCCCTTTTTTTTCAGATGAAGCCTGTAATTAACAGCTTCCTGTGACTTTTCCTTCTATAAAACAAACTAGAACACCTCTGCAACCTCTTCCTCTAAGATAATAATACATGTTTACTGCAACCTCAGGGAACTGTTGTAGCCTTGTCATGTTCAGTGGAACTGGTTACCTTGTCTTGTCTTAATTTTTTTTTTGGCATCAGTATTTGTTTTGGTGCCCAAGGCATGCATGGATCTTTCAAAACTTGCACCAACACATTTTTTGTGTTTGTATTTTTTTTTAATTGCATGGCTGTCCCGTTGAAAAGCCCACAATTGTTGTATCTACAGACACCATTTGGCATGTTATTCATAAAACAAGTAGAAGTCATACAATTTATTTGTAAAAGCAAATTTTTTGGCCACGAGTTTTATACCAGAATATTAACTATATCGGTACAAACCAAACATCTTAAAATGGTACTAGTACTACTTTCACTTGTTGTTTTCTATCATGTTGCTGGAATTCTCCTTTTAGCTATGACTCCCTGTGTTGTGTGCCAAGCACTGCAAATGCCAAAACTGTTAATTGCACACCAGAATCATACAGTGCAATTGTTTTATCCTCAAGCTTTCAGACTCTGTTTGTCTAGAATGATGTTGTACTGATTTTGTTTTTAACAAAGTAAATTGTGCTCTTGACTCTGTTGGTGAGTGGCTGCTAGCTTTTGAGTTTTCTCAGCACAAATGCTTGCTATAACATCCTCAGGTATTCAGATGCAGCTTATTTGTCAATGTCTAGCAGTCTGGAAGCTGGTAATTAACATAATTTTTAAAGGAGATATTTCACATTTTGCTATGCATTGTTGATGCCATAGAAAAGAATGATTGATTGTCTATTTTTGTTTTATGGTTTTATGATAAGGAGGGAAAGGTATAAAAAACACAAAAGACATAGAAATGGCAGGCACATCTACTTCTAGAGAGTGGAAAACATTTGTGGAACTGAAAGGCAGCTGTGGAGCCCTACAGAGTTCAAAGGAGTGAGCCCCTTTTCAATTAATGAAAGTGCTTAGAAAAGGACTATTAGTTACAGCCAAGAACTTTGTGCCTTGCTATGGAAATGTAGCTTAGCTTTGTGTGCTTATTAGCCGTTGTAAACAGGTAGTGTCGTAATGCTGACGTGTTCAGGCAGGCAAAACTATCACTTGTGTGCTTATTAGCCGTTGTAAGCCGGTAGTGTTCAGGCAAGCAAAACTATCACAGTCAGTATCAGTTCGGGTTTGTTTGTTTTTGGCTTGAGCTGGAGCTCTGAGAGTGACTCATTCCACTGTAAATATAACCTACTTTTCCTCACACCAATAACAATGCTGCTTTGTACCATGGAGAAGTTGGTGAGAAACATGGAGCCAGTGCTTTCCAGGAATGAAACCCCTATTAGTATATTTCTTGAAAGCTCAGGCAAATGGCCATTTTGGCCAAGGTGCTGAGGATTTCTGTGAGAGGCCTTCCAAACCTTTTTTTTTTTTTTGTATACTCTTTGGATTGCTGTATGCTCATCTGCTTCCAGGAGTTCTGTTGCATTTTATAGGATTGGGTCACTAAGGTTTCTATTATTGCTCTGGATCCCTGTGACAAAAAGTGAAAGTGGAGTAATGATGACATGAATTGATTCTTCGGATTCTTGACTTTAGAGAAGCTTTAAATGCTCGTTTGTGGAGGAACAATCCAGTCATTGTGAAATAAGGAAAAATATCTGAAGACCAGAGTATCTAAAAGGCCAGGAAAGAAGCAAAATACTGCATGAAATGTATCACCAGACCTTTTAAGTTTCACATATTTTCCCCATTATCATTCTTTGTACATTTTTACTGGTATCTTCTTGCATCTGAAAATGTGTAATCCCATGTACTGATTCAGTTGTAATGTGATAAGATGCTTAAACTTGTCTTATTTTACAGAGGACCTGCAGCTTTGGTGGATTTGACTTGACAAATCGCTCATTACACATTGGAAACAATTTGGACCAAATGGTGAGTATGAGATAAAAGTTCAGGTATGAAAATGCATTAGACCTCTTATTCATGCTGCAGCATGGCACATTTTTGAGAGAATAAAATTTATTTCCAGTTGCCATAGTAGTTTTTACAAGATCCAGCAAAATAGTGTCAATTGAATGCTGTTCATCAGATTTTTGAACTACATTGACACATATTGCTATGCAGCTTTACTATGAACCAAGTGCTTATACACAGTGCAAAAACGGTTAATTGTTTATCTTCCAGTGATTATGATTATGACTGGAGATGTTACCAGCAGCCTATTTATGGTGGAGGTAACTTATCATCAAAGTATGTGTTAGAAAAGTACAGTTTTGTTGTTGTTGTTATTGTTCATGTATAAGAGTGCCTGACCAAGTACAATCCTGATCGGTGTGGTTTTATTTACTTATTTTAATGTTTATACTCTGCCTTTCCCTTTAACTCAAGGCAGTTTACAATTCCAAATTAAAACCATGCAAAACACAATAAAAGCCCATTAATCTCTCTCAACAAGGCAATGCCTACAAATAAACACTTTAAAAGCCCTAGATAATGAAATGGCCTTGCAGCATCCCCTGAAGTCAGGGACATATGGGAAGAGACAGTCCTTCAGGTACATAGATCCTATGCTGTAAAGAGCTTTAAAGGCAATAACCAGCACCTAGAATTGGATTCAGAAGCAAATTGGCATCCCGTGTAGCTGTTTTAAAATAGGCAAGATGTGAAATAATCAGGCTGACACATTCTGAACTAGATGTAGTTTCTGGGTGTCTTCTTCCCCCAAGGGCAGTCCCATGTAGAGCATATTATAGTACTCTAATCACAAAGTACTCAAAGTATAGTTATCACAAAGTACTCAAAATATAGTTCTCAAATCACAAAAAATGGAGACATCACCCTGCCAACAAAAGTCCATATGGTCAAAGCAATGGTATTCCCAGTAGTCATGTATGGCTGCGACAGTTGGACCATAAGGAAGGCTGAGCACCGAAGAATAGATGCTTTCAAATTATGGTGCTGGGGAAGACTCTTGAGAGTCCCTTGGACTGCAAGGAGATCAAATCAGTCAATCCTAAAAGAAATCACCCCTGACTGTTCCCTGGAAGGCCAGATACTGAAGCTGAAGCTCAAATACTTTGGCCACCAAATGAGAAGGGAGCACTCACTGGAGAAGACCCTGATGCTGGGAAATATTGAAGGTAACAGAAGAAGGGGATGGCAAAGGATGAGATGGTTAGACAGTGTTATTGATGCAACAAACATGAAGCTGAGCAAACTCTGGAGGACAGGAGGGCCTGATGTGGTCCATGGGGTCGTGAAGAGTCAAACTCGACTGTGCGACTGAACAACAACAATCACAAAGTTACAAATCATAGATTAGTGTGACTAGGTCAGCTGAATCTAAAAAAGGAGAGAGTTGACAAGCCAGATGCAGCTGATAGAAGACAGTCCTACTAGACACTGTATCAGCCTGCTTTTCAAATAGCAAGGCTGGGTCCATGACCACCCCAAGCCCTTATCCTGTCCTCTGTTTTGGTATATATCTTGGTTTTGTATAGTTTGAATTATGTTATTTAATTTTTTTTATCTGGGAGAAAGATATTGTAACAAGATTCAATAGGACTGTATATGCAGATAAAAAGCATGAGCCAAGCTGTGCTGTATAGCAGTAGTAGAACATATGGTCAGATTAAAGGCTTCCTGTATCTGGTTCAGGAGGATGCTTTGTGCCTTTGCTTGCAGCCCTAAGACAGATCCTGTTACCTGGCACAGTAGTAACTGCAACTGCTGGTGGCACTTGAGCCGCCTTGAGCCAGTTCATACCGGTAAGGCGGGATACAAATTGAAAGCAAATAAATAAAAATAAATGTATCAGTGTTGTTGAAAAGGTGCTAACTAGGAGTTTGGAATAAGGACAACAGTGAACGTGGACTAGGGTCACTCCAAGAAGGAGACAAAGGTGCTCTGAAACAGGAGAAATCAGAGGAAGTAATGGCATCTAAAAATGATAAAAAGAAGGGCAGACATGGTTGAAAGACACCACTCTCCAAAAAAAGCACAATGTTTGCCCTGAAAATATTTTGCATTAGTCCTAATCACTCCATGGAACAGGCCTGATTTTATTAGTATATTGATATACATGTATTTACATAGAAGCAAAATTTTATGCCTCTGTTGAGATTTGTCCAATTTATGCTTGGAGTTGACTTACCTTTTCACATGTATATGTACATGTGTGCACATGTGCGTGCTCATGAGACATGTATTTCTGGTTCGGTCACATATTCCTGAAAGAACCAGTGCAATCCTGTACTTGGGATGGCACCGTAAGGTTTTTGATCTGTATGCTTTTGGATAGGGTTGCCAAGTCAAAATTTCGCCGGAGCAGGGGACTCCCCACTGGCGGCTGGAGGGCGGATGGAGCATGCGCGCAAAGTGCGCACCGCACGCATGTCTCCCGGAAGTGACGTGATGATGCCGGGCACGCTGGAGGCGGGGCCAGAACCATCCGAGGGAAAACCATAGAGTTTTCCCTCAAATGACCGTGGCTCCGCCCCCAGTGCGCTCGGCGGCATCACGTCACTTCCGGGTGACGCGCACGTTGGGGTGGGGTTCCCCCCGGGGCCCGATCCGCCGGTGGCGGGGAACAGGTCTCTGGGGCGGGGGTTTCCCCGCCCCCCGGGGGGATTTGGCAAGCCTACTTATGGAGGAATTAGTTGGAATCTGTGTCTGCATTTAGGTAGCTTACGAATTTGGACATATGGATGGCACAATGAAATTTCCAGAGGTGGATACACAGTTATAGTTCCTCATTGTGGAAATATCCTTGGATTTATTAAACAATAGGTGGGTCTTTTCCTTGAAATATCATGGGTATGATTTTTCCCCCAAGATAGCATTTTGCCTCTCCACCACCTCTGGCCTTCCTGTCTCAAGGAAGTTATCTCTTTTTTCTTCTACTAGTGCAGCTCTGGGAACACCCCCAGGTAGGGTTTGGCATATTAACTCAATAGCAGTGTCATGCTACATATTCTGTGTAGTTTAGTTTCTAGAGGAACAAATCCCCACTACATAGTACATCTAAGAAGGTGTATAGGAAGTTTAGCTGTATGTGCTGATTGTGGCATGGGCAGTTGAATCTATGTGGAAATGTAGGCAATCATAATGTAGCTATGCTTATAAATATAGGTCTCTGCTGAAAAAGAAGAGTACTTCCCATTGATAAAACATACTTAGAAAACATTAACTTTACACAGGCAATCAGGGGCAGGACTCAGATGTTAAAATGGATTTTCCTAACTTTCAAAAGGTTCCGAATTAAAGCCATGGACAAAGAAAGCTAGTTGGAAATCAGTATAAGTAGAAGACAGTGCTTGGGTGTGGGTGAGCTTCATGCAAGTAGTTGGTTACTTTGTAACCATTTATCTCCAGGGCCATGCACTTTGGTATAATTCCCCTGCCACACGGGGGGGGGGGGGGTCGGGCCAAAGTGCGGCTTTTTAAACCCGACACAAAAGAAACACGCGGCGGCGGGATCACATAGATCCCCTGAGCCGCCGCGCAGTTCCTCCCCGGCACAATCAGATGCTGGGGGGGGGGAGCTGCTGAAGAGGGAGCGAGGCAGCCAAACTGCGCATGTTTGCGCATGCGCAGTTCGGCCGGGAGCCTGAATTGCTCCAGACAACGAGCGCGCCAGCAATCCCATGGCCGCGCTTGCTGCGATGCTGCAGGTAAGTCCTCCTCTGTAGGAGGTTCTTTTTTGCAGCGGGTTTTCCGGGTGTAGGGACGGATCGGGGACGGGTGCGCGCTGCTTCCCAGATGTTGCGGTGAGATCGCGGCCGTTTGCTGTGCCCCCAATCCGTCCCTCTCCCGGGCCAAAATCTCCCGTGTGACCGGGGCCATAGATGATCAATTCCAACATATTTGTCATAGGGTGACATGTGAGAACCATTCTAAAAATGCCCCTGCAGAAGTGAGTGTTGCTGGAAACTGCCTATCTTGTTGAGGGTGTAGGGTTGATAGGCCAACCCTGGCCACCAGCAGGAGGGTTTGGGGAAAGGGACATGAGGGAAGGTATGTGATATTGGCAATGTTGCCAATGTCAACACATCACTTTTGTGTACAATCCAGACATAACAATGGGTAGCTGCAGGAACTGCCAGAAGCTCTCCAGTAAAACCAGAACTTCCAGCGCTTCCTAGAGCTATGCACTGTCACTTTTGGGTTGTACCTGGAGTGATATACAGAGGCCAGCAGCATTTTTATTTTTAAAAACAAACAGCAACAGCAGTGATTGGCAGGCCCACCAGCCATAGTGGGAAGTCTGGCAGCCCTTTGAGGAATGCAGGCGGAATCATTCCTTGGAGATTCTGCAAAACCTCTGCCACACTTGCGTGTTTTGTCTCCTTCAGACATTTTGTGTGTGAAGATTACAAAGAATGATCAAATGACAAACTACGCACCTTGTTTAGAACCTTCTTTCATTTTACAGGGCAAAGATGGTGATTTTGTTTACAAAGAAGTGATCAAATCCCCTTCGACTTCCCGCATATCCCTTGGCAAAAAGGTGAAATCTGTAAAAGAAACTATGAAGAAACGAATGTCAAAAAAATATAGCAGTTCTTTGTCAGAGCAGGTATGTAAGTTTGTTCTTAAATGAAATTGAATTTCTAGAGTAAATAGTGTGTAAGGGTTGTTGATACCTATGTTTCAAGGGTTGTTTATACCTATGTTTCAAGGCATCATTGGAAGGTACAATAGCATCACTAAAGAAGCCCCTCAAGGGTATAATGTAGTAAAGCAATTCCAAGGCCCCTTCAAAACTATTTACAGTGAAAAGAGCTTGAGTAAAATCATACAGGGGAGTTCGAATTGAGTTAAGCCAGTAAAGTATATGATTTCATTTTATATATGCTGGTAATTCTACAGCAGCAAAGAATAAATGGTTTATATACTCCTTGAGCTAATCCTCTAGTGACTAACATCTCAGGGTGCCCCAATGCATGTTCCAAATTACACAGCTACTTGCACATTATAATAATCCCTTACTCCAGGGGTATTGGTTTTTTTTAAAGCCACAACAAATTCTTTCAAATAAGAAGATATTTATTTAAAATATGCCCTGTCCTATTGAACAGTCAATTTCTTTTTATTTATTTTGTTTAAAAATACTTCTCCCCCATTTCCCCTCTTTGAAATAAACATTCATAAAAGCAGTCACTCACTTGCCATTCAAACTGTGAATAAAACAGCATTTTAAAACCTACCATCTAGTTTAAAACAAGCAGTTGGTATTAAAGTATGAATACTGTTTTGTGTAAAACCAATAAAAATATATCAAAATTGTTTCAAAAATAAGCCTCTGGTTCACTTTGGACGGACACCTGCCCAAACAGGAATGTCCCACATCCACCTCTAAGACTTGCTGTGTGGTTTGTTTCCCTTCTTTGTTTTCTTAGTTGCTTGAAAGCAAACCTTTGGCAAGAGCCTCATAGTTACTTGTTTTATTATACACAAGTCCTATTAAAATCCTTTTATGGAAAATTAACAATGTCTTTTTCACCTGTTTCACTATTCTTTTTGAATGAGATAGATTTATATAAAAAATAATGAATGCAAACAAAAACAACCATGAAAAATATTGCCGGAATTTCTCACCTCTTACTGCAATCATATATATGCTCAGGTTTCAGAAGGCTTTTAGGGCAGATAGTTACAGTAACAGCAATCTGTCATGTTAGTGCTTCCCTATACTCTCTGGTTCTTTGGCTCTCCTGGAAGGGCCAAAATAAAAATTCTCCAGGTTTATCCAGAAAACTTTGCCAATGGACATGGGTGCGCCATCACGCACAGATATTTTTCTTCATAGTGTATTTAATTCTCTCATTGTGGAGTTCTATATACTTGATCTTTAAAATTCATTCTAAAATATATTCTTTTTAAGCTGCTTTTTTCAGTTTCCTCTGGCCAAAATCAATCTGTTTTTGCAAGCATGTTGTGTTTGGCAGACTTCATTCCATTTGGTTTGGTAGGTTGTCAAAATACCCAGCACTTTAAAAAAAAATCATCAGTCTTTCCACTTGAACTGTAAGCATAACAAGCAATTGCTGGCAAGCAACTACAAGGCATTGGCATCAGCTGTGGACTTTGTTTCCACTGAATAAACATTGCCCTCTAGAGGACTGTTGTAGAATCAGGTTCACAGCATCTTTTTATGATGTGCTTAGAAGCTAAAGACTGATATTTGATCAGCAAAAGAGCATGGCATATGTTTATCTTTCTGTCATCCTTGACATGTTAAAATAATACTACCTGGCTAAATTCAGATCTCCAGTCCTTGTATTTTTCTGTGCCTTACACTTATCTCCAATGAGATGGGACTAAGTTATATAGCAAGAAGTCCTGCAAAGGAGGGTCTGTCACTTCAGTAGCATATTTGGTTGCTACCCCACAGTGGGCCTGAATTCCACTTTATGCTATTTTATGCTATTGCTTCAAATGAAGAATTTTTAAGTGGACACTTTTGCAGGTAATGTCTGTACTTCAGCCCTGTCTGAAAACACTTCAGAAATGTGTAATCCTTTAGAAAACCAAATATTGACCCGTTTAAAAATATTGTGTATCCTAGTTTTAGATATCTTGTCCAGCACCAAAAACCACCCTGAAAACCTGTTATGAACTGGAGAGAATATTTTAGTACCTTAATTTGGAATTGTTAACAGTTTAACATAATCCATGTTAGCAGCTTAATCTTAAATTTTCAGACCCAAGTGTTCATAGATCTCATATCACTGGTTTGAGGGCAACAATTTCTGCACTTATATGCTTTTCCTCATATCATATGGCGACAAGCATAATTTTTTAAAAAAACCGAGATACAATCCATTTCAGCAAATACATTATAGTTCATCCATAGACATCCTCCTTAGTTGTACTTGCTCTTATAATTTTTGTAACAAATAGATTGACAACACAGTAGTTGCTTTAATGGCCCAATCCTGTGATGTGGTGCACAATTTAATAGTTAGGATAATGTGCACCAGTTGTTGTTCCAGCATAACCTCTCAAAACACACACACCAGCATGATCTATAAGAATAGCATGAGCAAGGTAACAAGCAGAGAAATCAATACAAATGTTCAAAACCAGAGTGCAAGAAATGCACAAAATTAGAAAAGCAAAAGGCACTTTATATTAGCAATATGTGGTTTTTCTCTGGAGATGTACTTGATTTGTGGGAAGATGTTTCTTGATGACTCTGCAGCACGCAAATAACAGGCTTTGTTGAGAGGGTTTATGACTGTATGTCTGTGGAATAAGCCGCCAGTTCTCATATATCATCAGGTTTCTTTTAATTTCTTGCTGTGGATAGTCTTGAATGTTGCACTTTTTCCCCCCATTGTAATTTATCAAACAAAATACTGTATTCGCTATTGGATGTACTTGTGACTGAACCCCTCCCTCCCAACATGTCCCAGAAATAAAAAAGCTGCTTTAGCCAATAGGCTGTCAAAATGGATATGGATGAGATCTTTTTGAACTGAAAAAAATAGCCATTACATTTCATGTAAAGGATTTTTGCTTTGCTTACAGTTTTGTGTACTTGAGTTGCATGCTCAGGCTAATTCGTTTTAACACCATGCATATGAAAAAGAAGTTAGTTACCCGTTCTAGACCGTAAAATTTCCATTACTTGTCTGCCATTTCATTTACACTATGTTAAGTTTTTATTACTGTCTTCAGCAAATCATGTATAAAGAGCTTGATTCTAAGATTTATGACAGCCAGTTGGGGGGGGGGGGAATAAAAAAATAACATCACAGGGTGATACTAAAGATAAAGATGCTGGCATCAAATAAGACTTTTAATTAATTGGCTCATTTGGCTAGGAATACTTAAAAGTTAAAAGAGTAGATCAAAAGATGAATTTGTATGTTAAGGCAAATGACTTTAAAACAAAACCATTTGATAACACCTTCACGTACACATTAAGTTAAATAAACGACTATGAATAATGATGCTACAAGTAGGGACATGCAAGAAACTTGTGGGAGGTGCTGTCCCATTCCCCACCCTTTGCTTCCTCCCCTGTCTCCCTATTTCATTTATTTATTTATTTATTTATATTTATTTATATCTTCGATTTCTACCCCGCTCCAACCCCGAAGGGTCTCTGAGCAGTTTACAAGTTCCGGATTTACAAGTTCCGAATTTATCCCTAACTAAGGCCACATGTCTACAGGGGTTGGGGCTGCCTACCGGCACCCAGGTGGCAGGGCTCGCTGTTTCTTGCAGCCCAGCTAACGTCTATTGCGGCTCCGCTGCGCTCGCGTCATGTCACCATGTCCTTCTATGGCTCCGCCTCTGTCTCCGCCTCCAACACTCCGCTTGCCTCGCTCTGTCGCTCCGATGCTATGCCACTCCATCCCCGCTGCCATTTCCACCATCACTGCCGCTGCTGTCGCTTCCAGTGCTCCTGCCACACACACCCATATGGGGAGGGTGCCCCCTGCCACCTAAGGGCAGGTACCCATTAATCTACTTGCTTATATTTATTGCTTTCGAACCGCTTGGTGGGCGGGAGCTGGGACTAGGGCCAGGAGCTCACCCCGGCCGCGGTGGGTTTCAAACAGCTGTAACAGCTGTTCACTGATGTTACCAGCAGGCGTCTTACCGCCTGCGCCACCGCTCCCTGCTGGCACTCCTTTTCTTATTCTCTTTGTCCTCCCTCTCTGTCTTCCTTTTTCTACCTCCCCACATCACTCTCTCTCTCTCTTTCTGCCCTCCACCCCATCGCTCTCACTTTCTGGCCCCCATCAGTCTCCCAGCCTCCTTCCTCCATCCCCAAAGCAGCAGCAGTGGAGCTGGCAACACTGTCTCCTTCCCACCCAAACACCAACCTACCTTTATCTTGCCCCAGCCTACCTTTATTTTGTCCCTCTGTCTTCAGCTTTCTGTCTCCTCCCCCTACAGTCTCTGCCTAGGAAGACTATGTTCTTTCTCCTTAGTGGGGACCAAAGCAGCTCACATTGTTCTCCTCTCCTCCTTCTAATCTACACAACAATCCTATAAGGTAGGTTGGACTGGAAGTATGTGGCTGGTCCATAATCACCCAGTGAGCTTCCACAGCAAGATGGGGATTTGAACCAGGTCTCCCAGGCCCTACTCTGAAGCTCTACCCACTACACCACACTGGATTTCATAAGGTGTCTGTTGTTGAACAGTAGCAAGCAGTCATGCCTAGTTGTGTCATACAAGTTGGGTGGTATCAAGTCACCCAGAGGTTGCTGCCAGGCGTAGGGTTGCCAGCCTCCAGATGAGACCTGGAGATTTCCCTGAAGAAAATAGCTGGTTTGGAAGGTGAACTGTATGGCATTATATCTGGCTGAGGCCTCTCCCCTCCCCAAATTCTACCCTCCTCAGACTCTACCATAAAATCTCCAGGAACTTCTGAACCTGGAGCTGGCACTCTTAGTCAGGCCTGGGCCTAATGAGTTCTCCCTCAAAGGCCAAAGTAGGCCTGGAAAGGGCTCTGCCTCTGCCCCCTACCTTTTACTGACAGAACCCAGCCTGGAATACTGTGGTTGCTTAGCAACAGCAACTGAGGGAATTTGTTGCTTAAAGTTACAGGTGCTCATTTCATATTTTTAAAAAACCCCAATGGGTTTTTTTTAGATTTCAGATTTTTCTGCAAACCTGGGCCCCTTTTCAGGTTTGTAAAAAGATCTGTCTTGCCCATTCACAGCTCCAGTCACCAGATTTAAGTATTCAAAGATTGGTCAACTTTGCTCTTAGACTATAAGTTTGGATGTATCCTACCAACACTGGTGGAAGCTCTACTGTTGCCCCCAACAGCCCCTTTTGACACTCAAAAATCTGATTCTGGACTCACGTGGAGAAAAAACTCATACAGGATAGTGAGAAGGAGAGTTGGGTGAAATTAATTCCCCCATATACATACATACTTCTGCCAGAAAAGCCTCATAAGCTCCATAAGAGAATGCAGTGGATGGTTTTACTCTCCTTATTGCAGCCACTTACTCACATGGCTTTTTATCCATATATGTATCCCTCAAATCCAACATCAGCTTTATTTAGGTGAAAAGGGGCTGCTCCTGTTGTTAATGAGATATCTAAAATTGCTAAGTGCTGTGCAAAATTTGGAAAATGAAATATGCCTTGCCTACCAACTTACAATTTATAAATGAAGAAAAATTAAATGGAAAAGAGAGTTAGTCTGAGAAAGTCATGGTAGAAAGATAAGGCACAAATGGGGGGGGGGGAGTAACCCAAATCAAGGAAGTCATCCAGAAAGGCTTTCCAGTGCAAGGGGAAAGAGACCCAGATGGGAAATAAAGAGGGCAGTCTTAACTACAAGATTAGTACCTGGAGAATGAAGGGCTCCTAGGAGGCGCATGTAGTAAAAAAGCAGAAGATATATTGAGAGGAGCAAGACTATAAGTACACTGGAACACAAGTACAAGCAGCTGAAAGGGAAGACAAAAAGAGAGGGGAAGGCCAGTGAAGGGAATGACAAAGAGGCATAATATGAGGTTTAATTTAAAGTTGTAAGCCACCTTGAACCACAAGGGGAAAGGTTGGGGTATTGATATTTTAATTAATAAGTAATAGGCAGTAAAACATACTAAACAAATGACAGCATATAAATCAGAGTAGAAGCAAGGAGACCAAATAGGATAAAGAATAATTGTTTGCAATAACAAACATTCTAGATACGTGATTCAACTAAGAAAAATACAATTTGGCAAGATCCTGGACCTAGGAGAAAAAAATGTCAAATTAAAACAACAGCAGTATCAAGAACTAGAGGAAGGAATGTTGAAAAGGCATGGGGAGAAAGTGGAAAAAGCAGAAGTTCGGTTTGGGCAAAGTTAAGTTTATGAAAATGGAACATCAAAAATAGGAACAATTGGCAGAAGATAACATTGACCCTTAAGGACTTTCTATAGAAAGAGGTAAAGGAATTGAACCATTAAAAGAAAACCTTAAAGGCGGAAAAGATGACTTGAAAATATGATAAAACAGTACCTGAGCAGAAGGGAATGTTCAGTAGTATCAAAGGGTGAAGAAAAATCCCGGAGGTGAAGAAGAAAATGGTTGCTTCAGAAGATTATTGGAAACAGAGAGCAGAAGAGATTCAGCAGAATGAAAAAAGTGGGAACAAGTTTGGAAAGGGTCAAAAAGAGAGCTGTCAGAAAATAACATGCATGGGAATCTGAGATTAAATTGTGCAGTACTTTTTTTTCAGGACTCCAGCCTGGATGTAATGCCAGAATCCCCTCAGTCACCACAGCCAGACACTGATTGTCTAGATAAGCCGAAGCTGAAAGCTGGTGGTTCAGTAGAAAGCTTGAGAAGCTCCTTAAGTGGTCAGAGTTCAATGAGTAAGTGACAACATTCAATACACGTTTCACATGATTTTTAATGTTGTTTGAAATCCTGTTTTTTTTAAATAAGAAATAAGAAAATGCAAAATGTGAAAGGCTGGTTCAGATCAAAAATACTGGACGGCAAAACCACTGGTATTTAGAAATGGAAGTACTTCTACTCTTATCATGTTTAGACAGACTGCATTAGCCCTGATATTTCTGGGGTATTTTTACCTGCAGTCTTCTCAGACTCAAAGAAATATCTTTGTTTGAGGCAATTGGGGTTGTCGCTGTGAAGGGAATGAAAATCCCCAGTGCGTGGTTCAGACAAATTGTCAGATTTCCTACTGAGTGGTGTTTAATACTTTGTGGAAACCCAGGGCTATCCTTTATGCCATTTTTATGAGAAGCTGAGTATTCTCACTTGATAACCATTGAAAAATATTAAAGTACCTAACTAAAGTTAGGAATGAACTAAAGCTTAGGAATGAAGCGGATGTTTGGTTTGGGGGCCATCTATCATCTCACCTAATTTTAAATTAATGACTGCAAGAATCAGACTGATATTTTAATATAGTGGGGACAAAAGAAATTGCCAGCAGGCCTGGTGTGGCCATTAAATCAAACACAACCAAAGGAACTTACATTTGTTATTGAAAATAACTATTTCAAAAATAGAAACCACTGCTGAACTTAAAGGTTCTTGAATCTGCAGTTCTGGAATCATAATATCCTCCTATCTCAAAGTAGGATTGGGGGGGGGGGGAGTAAAACTGAAGCAGCTATGGGAGCTGTGCATTTTCAGTATGTCTAATTGAGACGGGTTGGCCCCTTTACGGATGACAAAAACTGCTCAGCAGACAAGGTAGGGAGTCTATGGGCCGTATGGGTAGGGCGGGATACAAATCCCAAAATAAATAAATAAAAAATAAAATATATACTAAGGGCACTCCCCAAGTATACAGAAAAATAGTACTTGGTGAATTCATTAAAAAGGAAGTGGGACTGTAATGACTTATTGTAACTAAGCTTGTTGGAGATCTCCTCTCTTGGGTTTTTAGATAGTAGTGGGTTTCTTTACTTTGTCCCTGTATGTGTAGTTCCCTATATCCTTTTTTCTTTGTAGTGTTTGTAGAGATATAAAAATAAAAAAAATCCCCTCTGGGACACACAGAAAATGCTCCAGGGGGCAGTAACTCTGAGATGTTAGAAGATCCTGGAAAGATTGGGGGGGGGGGGCACAGGATTCCCATATTATCCTACCAATGGTTTCTTGTATTTTTATAATAATGTGTGTTTCCAGATCTTTGGGTGCAGATATGGTTATTTTAAAAAATTAACATGAAAAGCAGCTCTTTTACTAAACTGAAAATGAGCCTATGATTGTGCCTAAGGCAGTCTGGCTGTTCTCATTTTTGTTTCTCTTTGGCTTAGAAACCCATCCTTTCAGTTAAAAGTGGCACAGCGACATTGTGGGCTCAATGGCACATCGGGGCTTACACTATACACTTCTGGAGGGTTACTAGGCTTGCTGCTGTCAATGTTTCAGCATGTGTTGTGACAATCAAGCTGTTGCTGCAAAAGCAGATGGATCTCTGGAGAGCTGCTAAATGCAGAATGTTTTTTAATCAGCACTAATGTTAAAAGATGCCATGTGTATTTATAAACAAATAGAAAAGGCCAGTGGGACACAGAACCTGCTGTGTATGTTGTCTTATCTTTTCAATATTAGTGTCAGAAATAAATGGCTCTCAAAATTAGTTCTCTTAGCAAATGACAGGACTTTCTTCTGCAAACAGGTGGACAGACAATAAGCACAACAGATTCCTCAGCCAGCAACAGAGAGAGTGTCAAGTCTGAAGATGGTGATGACGAAGAACTTCCATACAGAGGACCTTTCTGTGGCCGTGCCAGGGTTCATACGGACTTTACCCCCAGCCCCTATGACACTGACTCCCTGAAGCTAAAGGTAGCGGCGCTCTCTCCTTCTCTAGGTTAATACCATAGCTGAGGAACTGTCCTTACAAGGTTTCTTTGTCTCCTCTACCGCATTTGTTGCAGATATTGAGATGTTGGTGCTTCCCCTGGTTTCTCACTGGTCCCTTTGTGTTTCTCCTCAGGACTATAAACTGCCTTCTGCGTGGTTTGAACTAAAAAAAAAAGAGAGAGAGAGAAAGTAAAATATCTAAATATGTCCACAGATAATGATGTGCATTTTGTGCTCTGTCTGTGTCACGGTCGGTCAGAGGTGGAACGGCAGGAAAACCAGAGATAGAGGATCCTGCCTCCTTAGCCTCCCTAAAGCTGTTTGTCTACTGTTTACCCCTGAAACAGTAGCCCACACACTCTCAACAGCTAACTGTCATCGGTCTGCCCCTTGTATATCTTAAGTAGCATTTGGCAGGCTAAATTCTGCCTTTCTCTGCCACGCTTATGACACTCCTTATCCAGCTAGATACACAGCCTGGACTGACTAAAAACTGATATAACATAACCCAGTTCTTTTACAACGGAGTGATCTGGGGACAAAACAGGCTGTCTTAACACAAGTTTTAACTTTACTTTGGAAAAAACAGAGTATGGCCCCAGTCACACGGGAGGTTTTCGGCCGGAAGAGGGACGGATCGGGGGCGCAGCAAATGGGCGCGATCTCACCGCAACATCTGGGAATCGGCGCGCACCCGTCCCCGATCCGTCCCTTCAGGCCTAAAATCCGCTGTTTAAAAATAACACCTCTAGAGCAGGACTTATCAGAAACGGCACAGCAAGCGTGGCCGTCGGATCGCCGGAGCGTCCGTCTTCCGGAGCAATCGAGGCTTCCAGCCGAACTGCGCGTGCGCACACATGTGCGGCCGGCGGCCTCGCGCTCCCTTCCGTGGCTTTCTCCCCGGCATCTGATCGTGCCGGGGAGCAACTGCGCGGCGGCTCACGGGATCTGTGTGATCCCGCCGCCGTGTGTCTCTTTTGGTGCGGCTTTCAAAAGCCGCACTTTGCCCGCAGCAATTTCCCCCCGTGTGGCAGGGGCCTAAGAAGGGAAGGTATATGCAATTGCTTGCAGTAGAGGAACAAAAAATCAGAGATGGGTTTCAGAAACACAAATGAATGCAAAACAGAGTTGAGATAATGCAGAAAGCTAATACAACCCAGCTAAACTGGTTCCCTAGCATAATGGCTTACGCTTTTCCATAGATCCTAAGCCATGTCAGTCTGACATGGGCCTATCCCACAGAGGTCTCCTCTGCCCTTGCTTGCCCCTGGAAAATGCCCATCCCCCTGGAGTTTTATCAGTCTTGTTATAATCACTATGCCATTTATGGATAGGTGCCTTGCTCTGGCTGGCGCTAAGCCAATCAGATAATTTCTTTTTGAAAAACCCTATCCTCCTCTTTGGGACTTTATGGTTCACTATTCTGTTCCTGATCTGACTAGGGACACTACCTGCAGGCCTGGCCTGGTCTTGGAACTTAATTGGAAGTAGGGAAATCATGAGGATCAGGATGGGACTCACAACAGTCTGTCCCTGACAGGTGAGGCCTGGAGATCTCCCAGAATTACAACTGATCTTCAGACAACAGTGGCTGCGGTCACACGCACCAGATACAGTGTGGGGGGGAAGCAAGGCTATTTCCTCCAGAGGAATTTGGCCCGCAGTTGCAAGATCACACCTCCTTTTGAAGCTGTGGATGCAGCCTGTCTGCGTGTGATCAGACACAACTGCGGGTGAGGGTTTTTTGCCATTTATTTCCCATGCACTTAAACGAGGAATCGATGAATCGTACCTCCGCACTGAGGGCTCCCTATGGAGTTTGAGATTATGCACATACTGAGAAGGTGGGGGGACAACAGCACAGAGTCAGGATGGCCTGATCTGACCATCCTGATGGCATGGGAGTGCGCTGGAGCGATCAGGCAGGGTCTGATCCGTGGCCTGTTACTACCAGATTTTCCCTGGTGTCTTTTAACTCCGCTTCTGCGGCAGAGCAGAACGGGTTGCCGATGGCTGCGGGACCCTTCCCAGATGCTGATCGCTCCCTTTAAATCCGCCCAGCGTTCGCACCTATGTCGGATCTAATTGTGCATCTGATCACAGCCAGTGATCAGTTTTCCTGGAGAAAATGGCTGTATTGGAGGGTTGGTCATATGGAATTGTACTCTGCTGTGCTCCCTACCCAAAGACCACCTCCCCCAGGCTCCACCCCCACATCTTCAATAATTTCCCAACCCAGAGTTGCTACAGGATAATGTAGGAGCCAGGATTTAGGTTGGCTTCACACACACACACACACAAAACAAAGCTTTTGGCTATTGGCAGGAATTGATTCATGAAGTGATTAAAGAAAACTTTTTAAAGGAAGTTAAACAAACTCTTGCAGTGAAGGAGGAATGGTAATACACAGTTAGATGGAGTAAGATACCAGTAACAGCCTGCCTTTCATCCAAAATAGGGGAGGTGCAGATTGCAGTGTAGTGGTTAAGAGGAGCTGACTCTAATCTGGAGTACCAGGTTTGATTCCGCAGTTCTCCACATGAAGCCTGCTGGGTGACCTTGGGCCAATCACAGTTCTCTCAGAACTCTCTCAGCCCCACCTACCTCACAAGGTGCCTCTTGTGGGGAGAGGAAGGGAATGTGATTGTAAGCCCCTCTGAGACTCCTTAAGGTAGAGAAAAGCAGGGTATAAAAACCTTACTGTCTTCTTCATATCACACAAAACAGCTGGTGCAGACCAACCCTGAGTTTATGATTTAACTCCTCTATAAGCCCAGAAACTTCCTGTTATCTTTCTCAGGAGTTGTTTTGGGCAATAGTGGGTATTTCAAAATAACGAAGTGATACCGGGGGGGGGGGGTTATATTTGTCTTGGACCAGTTAGTTGCCACACTGCTGCAAGGCTATTTTTATGCTGTGTACATTTGCAGGTCAAGAATATTGAGTAAATTGATGTTTGCTGTGTAATATTCAGACCATAACCCTACAGCTGGCTGGAATGTATCTGCCATGAAATCAGTTTGATTTGCACCATTTTGGATCAGGTGCTCCAAATAGGGCTGCCTCTGAAGAGTATTTGGAACGACAAAGGATGAAGAATGCTTCAGGATTACCTTCTATCTGTTCTGTTTTTATTGTTTGCTTCATAAGTGTTCATTGTAATACAGGACTTAAAATGTTATGCTTTTTAGATCATTCTAATCCTTTCAAAGAATATGGTGTGCTTGCTAAGCACGATACAAATAGAAAATGAAAAACATATTTAGTAAACCCCAAACATTTTAATTTACCTGAGAAGTCCACTGGAGAGGCGGAGACATGGGTAGTGAGCTGAAAATAAAATAATTATCATAGAGCTGGAAATAAATGTTTCTGATTTATATATATTTGACAAATCTGCAAAAAGATTTCTAGAGATTTATTTCTGGAAACAGGCGACTAGGAGAGAATATAATTATGAATGTGTAATGTCCAAAATCTTCAGAAAGTCATACCATTTAAAGCTGTTGGGAGAAGTCTGTTTTATGTTAATGTATTGCTAAGACAGAAGGTGAATTACAGATAGGAACCCATTGAGCTAGATTTATAAAGATTTCATACGCTCTACTGTTGTTGTTCAGTCGCACAGTCGAGTCCGACTCTTCGCGACCCCATGGATCATCTCCCGCCAGGCCCTCCTGTCTTCCGCCGTCCTCTGAAGTTGGCTCAATTTCATGTTCGTTGCATCTATGACACTGTCTAACCATCTCATCCTTTGCCGTCCCCGTCTTCTTTGACCTTCAATCTTTCCCAGCATCAGGGTCTTCTCCAGGGAGTGCTCCCTTCTCATTTGGTGGCCAAAGTATTTGAGCTTCAGTTTCATTATCTGGCCTTCCAGGGAACAGTCAGGGTTGATTTCTTTTAGGATTGACTGATTTGATCTTCTTGCAGTCCAAGGGACTCTCAAGAGTCTTCTCCAGCACCATAGTTCAAAAGAATCTATTCTTCGGCACTCGGCCTTCCTTATAGTCCAACTCTCGCAGCCATACATGACTACTGGGAATACCATTGCTTTGACCATGCGGACTTTTGTTGGCAGGGTGATGTCTCTACTTTTTATCATGCTGTTTAGGTTCGCCATCGCTTTCCTCCCAAGGAGCAGGCGTCTTTTAATTTCATGACTACTGTCACAGTCTGCAGTGATCTGGGATCCCAGGAACGTGAAGTCTGTCACTACTTCCACGACTTCCCCTTCTATTTGCCAAGGAGTGATGGGGCCGGATGCCATGATCTTAGTTTTTTTGATGTTGAGCTTCAAGCCCACTTTTGCGCTCTCCTCTTTTACTCTGAGCAAGAGGCTCTTTAGGTCCTCTTCACTTTCAGCCATTAGAGTGGTATCATCTGCATATCTGAGGTTGTTGATCTTTTCCCCAGCAATCTTAATTCCCGCTTGTGATTCATCCAGGCCAGCATTTCGCATGATGTACTCTGCATATATATTAAATAAGCAAGGTGACAATATACATCCTTGTCGTACTCCTTTTCCTATGCTGAACCAATCAGTTGTTCCATATCCGGTTCTAACTGTCGCTTCTTGGCCCTTATACAGGTTTCTCAAGAGACATGTGAGGTGGTCTGGTACTCCCATCTCTTTAAGGACCTGCCATAGTTTGTTGTGATCCACACAGTCAAAAGCTTTAGCATAGTCAATGAAGCAGAAGTAGATATTTTTCTGGTACTCTCTTGCTTTCTCCATAATCCAGCGAATGTTGGCAATTTGATCTCTAGTTCCTCTACCTCTTCGAAACCCAGCTTGTACTTCTGGTAGTTCTCTATCCACGTACTGTTGAAGCCTAGCTTGTAGGATCTTGAGCATGACCTTGCTAGCGTGTGATATGAGTGCAATTGTGCGATAGTTTGAACATTCCTTGGCATTGCCCTTCTTTGGGATTGGAATGTATACTGACCTTTTCCAATCCTGTGGCCACTGTTGCGTTTTCCAAATTTGCTGGCAAATGGAGTGCAGCACTTTAACAGCATCATCTTCTAAGACTTTGAATAGCTCAGCTGGAATACCATCACCTCCACTAGCTTTGTTGTTAGCAATGCTTTCTAAGGCCCATTTAACTTCACATTCCAGGATGTCTGGCTCGAGGTCAGTGATTATACCGTCGTGGTTGTCAAGGACATCGAGGTCTTTCTTGTATAGTTCTTCTGTGTATTCTTGCCATCTTTTCCTAATCTCTTCTGCTTCTGTTAGGTCCCTACCGTTTTTGTCCTTTATCATGGCCAGCTTTGCATGGAACGCTCCCTTGATTTCTCCAATTTTCTTGAAGAGATCTCTAGTCCTTCCCATTCTATTGTTTTCTTCTATTACTTTGCACTGTTCATTCAGGAAGGCCTCCTTATCTCTCCTTGCTGTTCTCTGGAAATCTGCGTTCAGTTGGGTAAATCTTTCCTTTTCGCCTTTGCCTTTCGCTTTCCTTCTTTCCTCTGCTATTTGTAAAGCCTCATCAGAAAGCCACTTTGCTTTCTTACATTTCTTTTTCTTTGGGATGGTGGTGATTGCTGCCTCCTGTACGATGTCACGAACCTCTGTCCATAGTTCTTCAGGCACTCTATCTATCAAATCCAGACCCTTGAATCTATTCTTCACCTCTACTGTATATTCATCAGGGATGCGATCTAGGTCAAACCTGAATGGCCTCGTGGTTTTCCCAATTTTCTTCAGTTTAAGTCTGAATTTTGCAATGAGTAGCTCATGATCTGAACCACAGTCAGCTCCAGGTCTTGTTTTTACTGACTGGATAGAGCTTCTCCATCTTTGACTGCAAATTATATAGTCAATCTGATTTCGGTGTTGCCCATCTGGTGATGTCCATGTGTAGAGTCGCCTCTTAGGTTGTTGGAAAAGGGTGTTCGCTATGACCAGTGTGTTCTCTTGACAAAACTCTGTTAACCTTTGCCCTGCTTCATTTTGCTTTCCAAGGCCAAACTTGTCTGTTATTCCAGTTACCTTTTGACTTCCTACTTTAGCATTCCAGTCCCCTATGATGATGAGGACATCATTTTTTGGTGTTAGTTCTAGGAGGTGTTGTAGGTCTTCATAGAACCGGTCCACTTCAGCCTCTTCTGCATCAGTGGTTGGGGCATAGACTTGGATTACTGTGATGTTGAATGGTTTGCCTTGGAATCGGACAGAAATCATTCTGTCATTTTTGAGATTGTATCCCAGTACTGCCTTTTGCACTCTCTTGTTGACTATAAAGGCCACACCATTTTTTCTACGAGATTCCTGGCCACAGTAGTAGATATAATGGTCTTCTGAGTTAAATTCGCCCATTCCTGTCCACTTTAGTTCACTGATTCCTAGGATATCGATGTTCAGTCTTGCCATCTCATTTTTGACCACGTCAAGCTTACCTTGATTCATAGATCTTACATTCCAGGTTCCTATGTAGTATTGTTCTTTGCAGCATTGGACTTTCCTTTCACCATCAGACACATCCACAACTGAGCGTCCTTTCGGCTTTGGCCCAGCCGCTTCACTCTTTCTGGGGTTACTTGTACTTGTCCTCTGCTCTTCCTCAGTAGCATATTGGACACCTTCCGACCTGAGGGGCTCATCTTCCGGCGTCATATCTTTTAGCCTTTTGATACTGTCCATGGGGTTTTCTTGGCAAAAATACTGGAGTGGGTTGCCATTTCCTTCTCCAGGTGGATCACGCTTGGTCTGAGTTCTCTGCTGTGGCCTGTCCGTCTTGGGTGGCCCTTCACGGCATAGCCCACAGCTTCATTGAACTGCTCAAGCCCCCTCGCCACGACAAGGCAGTGATCCATGAGGGGGTCTACTCTACTACTCTACCAATTGAAAGTTACCCTATACAGACATTAGAATGGGTGTTCTTCTAAGCCTCTACACCATACCAGCCTAAATAAGTGAATGAGCTATGGTCTGAGAGCCCCCTATTTCAAATTTCATGTCTGTCACTAATTCACCAGATGGCCTTAAGGCAAGCCTTTATTTCTACCCCAAGTCTCAATAGTGGATAATGAGACTGGCCTACCTTAAAGGCATGTTGTAATGATTACATCAAGTGCTTTGGACAGTGAATAATATAAATAATATAAATAATAAGTATTATTATAACTACCTTCTATGTAAGGTACATAGCAATTTGAAAATCACTGTGGAACTTTCATCTCGATGTATTTTTGTGTCTCTTCTCTGCAGAAGGGTGATATCATTGATATAATCAGCAAACCTCCCATGGGTACCTGGATGGGTTTGTTGAACAATAAAGTGGGAACTTTCAAATTCATCTACGTTGATGTCTTAAATGAAGAGGAAGAGAAGCCAAAAAGGCCAACAAGGAGGCGACGAAAGGGAAAACCTCCTCAGCCCAAATCTGTTGAAGATCTCCTCGATCGCATCAACTTAAAGGTTGGTTTCCATTTTCTGTACGTTTGTGCCAGTGATCTCCAGCATAGTGCCCTGTGAGCTTCATGGCTCATGGTTGTTTCTCCCGGGGTTACAACTGATCTCCAGACAACCGAGATTGGTACCCCGGAGAAAATGGCTGCTTTGGAGGGTGGACTCTGTGGCCATTATAACCCTGCTAAGGCCCCTCCCATTTACAAACCCTGCCCTCCCCAGGCTCCCCCCTCCAAATCTCCAGGTATTTCCCAAGTGGGAGTTGGCAACCCTACAATTAACTGATGTTCTTACCTCTTAGAGTAGGGCCTGACCAGCTGAATTTACAGTTGCCGGCTGCTGTGGAGAAAAATGCCATGTCTCTTGAACAAAGGCTTTAATGGGTAGAAATGGGCTGCTGAAGCTTTTCATGCATGGATGTAAACGGCATCACCTGATCAATAATGTCCCGTTAATTAAGGGTATTGGACATTTTTCTCCAAGCCAGTTGGCAACCCCATTTATAACTTAAAGGCAACATTAAACTTGCTTAGTATGACAGAGAATAAAGTGTATTTTGTATAAGTCTAGGCTCCTTAATTTTGGGGCTAGCTTCTGGGTTCACAGAAAAATTGTCAAGGCCTGGATTATGGTAACTAGCAGTCAGTAATGAGCACTGATTATTTATTTAATTATATTATTTATTTATATCCCGCCCTCCCCTGCCATTCAGCAGGCTCAGGGTGGCTAACAACATCAGTAAGTGTACATTAAAATTCCAATTAAAACTGTTAATCAGTATAAAATCATACTGTATACATGACTTACAATAAAAGTAGGAAGGAAGAGCTGGAAGCATCAAAGATTGTACTTTCTTCTGAGCTGGTGATCTGTTGCTCTGTTCTGTACTGTCATTCCGTTATTCTTTCTTCTCCACAAACTGCTTTCTTCCTTTGCCACAGGAACACATGCCCACCTTTCTGTTCAATGGCTATGAAGACCTAGATACCTTTAAGCTTTTGGAGGAAGAAGATTTGGATGAGCTCAACATTCGGGACCCTGAGCATAGAGCAATTCTCTTGACAGCAGTGGAATTGCTTCAGGAATATGACAGTGAGTGAAGCCTTGATTTTCTAGATGCTGAACAGAAAAAATATCAAGACATAATATCTTCATTAAACACACAACATGGGCAGCATGCAGTTACAGTGGGAGACAAAATTCAAAGAGATGCTACACTTGAGTTGTAAGATCTTGGAAAATATAGCTTTCAATAAAAAGGCAGAAATACTTGAAAATGTGGACTGATCAGCCCACTAATGAAATGGAGGGTTTTCTTTCTAAGCATAGGGTTTTCTTTTCTCAGAGAGACAACTGTTTTCCTGGCCCTTTCATAAACACCTATATTACAGAATAAACTTCCCTTCTTGCTCCAAACGTTATGCAGTAGGGGGGCTAATCTTTCTTTCTTTCTTTCTTTCTTTCTTTCTTTCTTTCTTTCTTTCTTTCTTTCTTTCTTTCTTTCTTCACATTCACACATTCTTCTTCTGTTACAAAAGCTAATGAAAAATTGCAAGTGTTGGATCTTATTTTGTTGTATCTTTTCCTTCTACCAAAACCACAATATAAAATCAACATACTGTTTTAGTCAGCAGAGAAAAGGGGGAGCTTCACCAGGCTGTTTTAGTCAGAACTAACACAGTAGTTCTTCTAGGTACACCTTGTTACTGCCACAGTGATACTGAGTCAGTTCAGCCAAGTACCATGTTGTTGTGAATACCCTGAAATCTTCCAGTTCCACACTGACTCTTGACTGAATTTAGACTCTAGTTAAAAGATTCTTATATGGGGCCATCACCACTTCTATTCCTTCTCTTCCCTGTTAGCTACATTCACTGTATACTGCCTTCTAACATCTACTTTTTCTTCATCTTCCAGGTAACAGTGATCATTCAGGCTCTCAGGAGAAACTCCTCACAGATGGCCAGAATCTAAGTGGATGCTCCCCCCGGGATTCAGGCTGCTACGAAAGCAGTGAAAACCTGGAGAATGGTAATGGATGATACATATCCAAAGGGGGGGGAGGGCGGTGCTAATAATGCTGTACTAAGCAGGAGTCAATGAACATAGAAGGGTGTAACTGTCCTTAGTACTTCTATAAATTTATTAGATTTAAAGATCCATTGACTCTTTGTTGCAAAGGAGAGCACAAAAGTTACCATAATTCTGTTAAATATTTGTTCCATACCTTGATTTCTTACTCTTTCATGCTTGTTTATTGGATTTTATATTATACTGTGCTTCAGGGCAGTGATTCACCCCTTCCCCCTACAGTGTGCTTTGTAATCTTTTACCCATTGCTGCTGTTTCACATTGAAATACAGGCCTGCTTCCACACCAGGGTGATTTTCTGTGGTAGTCTGGTTGCTGATACAATTCTGTGTGATACCACCCTTACAGTGGAGATTCCAGACAGCTCCATTTTTAGGGGTGGTTTCCCTTTCATACCTGATTTACACTGATACACACACATGGTAGCATTCTCTGCCCACCCTGTTTTAGTTTTTTTAGGAACATAGGTAATGCAGTGCTGCATAGAAATAATGCACTACCTTAAAAAAACTTTTTAAAACACCTTCACATATTTGCAGACTCTTCTGTCAATCCTCTCCCCCTCCATAAAAGGCAGGCTGTGGGTGATTCAGTTCTGGGTTGTTTTTTTTAAGAGCATGAGTAACACTGGATAGGAATAATACAATGACTTTAGCAACCTTTAAAAAAACCCTTAAATTTGCAGAGCCTCTTTAGATCCCCTCTCCTCTGTCTAAAACATACGTAATTTTCTTCTATTATGCTCATTGTTGCCAGGGACTGGCCCCTTGCAATCATCAACAAATGAAAAGAATAATTGATTAGCTTTTCACTGAAATATTTCGACTGCACTGTTTGCTTTTCAGACACAAGAAACTGTTTGCGTGGATAGCATTCTGCCCAGAAAATAATTTTTTTTCCAGGTTTAAAAGAAAGCAGAGTGAGTGAGTGAGTGAGTGTGTGTGTGTGTGTGTGTGTGTGTGTGTGTGTGTAAAATACATGCTGTTAAGCATCTGTGCACAATTATAGGGCAACATCATGTGGCAACATGGGGAAAAAACTCATACCAGTGAGATGGCTGAAACATGGGAAATCCTTGATGTGGAAGCAGCCCAGTAAACGACTCTGCCTCCATATAACATGCTTTCTTCAGGAAAACCTCTCCACTCCCCAATACAAGCATATCTAGGGAGTACTACAAATAGAAAGTTAATTTGCGTACTAAAAGAGATTATTCAAGCCTTTTGTGTTTGTTTACTCAAGATGCATGTTGCACCCTTCTTTACTCAAAGGACGGTGTTGGTGTGCTGCTTGTAGAATCCTTGGCATGAAGCTCAGTGTGACAAGTTAACCAAGTGCAGGCTGCATGAACCACCTGCTGCAGCCTCCCACTGATCACAGCTTCCTTCAGAACTGATACGAGTGAGCAAGAGTATGTGAATGAGTTAAGCAGTGGAGTGAATGCAGGCTGTCGTATAGGGGGAAAATCTTTCTAGTAGTAATCAGTGAACTGCTGTCTCTTCGCGTTTAGTAAGTTAGCAATTGGTTCTTGTTTTGACTGAGATTGGTGATGATTCCTTCTTGCTCTGCCAAGCTTAACTCAATGAAAGCAGGTCTCATGTTGATATAAGAAAAGCAGTTACTGTACAGCCAAAGTACCATGTATGTTCAGCTCATGCACCATATGCAAATCATCTGATGGGCTGTTTGACTCCCATAGGATTTCTGTTTTGGGGAAAAGGACATTTGTAGGCCTCATGTTGTGGAAGAAATTCTCAAATCAACTACAGAAGATATGCAGAAAGTTAAGAAACCAAATAGTTCTGAATGAGACTTTTACAAAGCAGTATTTCAATGCCTTTTTAAACTACCCACCCACCTCACTCAATGAAGGGGGGTAATTTGGGGGGTTATTTTGTATGCTTTACTTGTGCTTTGTAATCTGCCTTGAGTCATGAGGAAAGAAGGTTATAAATATTTTAAAAATGTATTTGTTTTCTGTACCTGTGTTGGCCACCTCAAACTAGCATTTCTGATCTCTCTTTTTCTCCCTCTCCATGCTCCCTGCCATTCAAGTTCTTTAAAGAACATGAAAGTGTTAGAAATACAATCGAAGAATAGAATGGAATGATTGGGCAGACCAAAATATATCTAATTCTGCTTCTTGCAGGGATATTTTGTCAAAGTTTGTTAGTTAAAGGGAGTCCCAGATTTTTCTGTCAAACTCCATTGGAATATGAGGCACCGTTTAATACTTTTAAAAATAAGCACCTTGCTTCTATAAAGACCTTCTTTTTCATATTTGTTAAGGCACTGATACATTGTAGTCCACAATAGTCATGCAATAGTTGGCCACACAGTTGTGCATTGAGAGGAAATGAACATAAGAACATAAGAGAAGCCAATGTTGGATCAGGCCAGTTGCCCATCCAGTCCACTCTGCCACACAGTGGCCAAAAATACCAGGTGCCATCAGGAGGTCCACCAGTGGGGCCAGGACACTAGAAGCCCTCCCACTCTTGCCCACACCCAGCACCAAGAATACAGAGCATCACTTGCCCCAGACTGAGAGTTCCTATCTATACCTTGTGGTTAATAGCCACTGATGGACTTCTGCTTCATACAGGGCCGGCTCACCCACTAGGCAAACTAGGCCTTCGCCTAGAGCACTGGGCCCTGGATGGGGCGGGGGCCCCTGGATGGGGCACTGATCTTCCCCCCAAAAAAGCTGCTGCCCTGCCTCGCTACCGCCCTCTACCCTGCGTTGCCCGCCACCTTCCTACCGCCACCGCCGCGCCCTCCCTGCCCCTTGAGCCGCCTTGGGAAAGGAGGGCGGAGTAGAAAAGGGGCGTATCAGAACAGGCCTCTCGTGGGCAAGGGTGGAGGTCTGGTCCTGTCGGGAGGAGGGCGGCTGGTCCTTCCCTCGCCGCGCCTGGGGCCTGCTGCTTCCCTTGTTCATGCCTGTAAGCCCGCCCGGCTCCTCTTGGGAACAATAAACACGTTGTCACTCAAAAGACTGCTGTTTTTTATTATTATTTTTAAAAAACCACCCTATCAGTAAGCATTTTAAAAATCTTTTTGTAAAAAAAACTAGTTGGGCAGGCCAGCCGGCCAGGGTCTGCACACTGGCAGAAGCCCCGCCCCCAGCTTCCAGGAGCCCTCAGTTGGCCTGGGACAAGCTGGGTGGGGGCTGCGCGTGCAGAGTCTTCTTGCTGCTGCAAAGGTTAGTTGGCTTGTTTTGGGGTGGGATGGCTGCCATCTGGCCTTTGCAAATAAGGGCGGTGGGGGTGGGGGGAAGAGGCAGAAAATTTTGCTGCTGGGGTGGGGTCACTGCAGAGCCTGGATTCAGCAGAAGCAGCAGCAGTGAATTCCATGTGTTAATCACTCTTTGGGTGAAGAAGTACTTCCTTTTATCCGTTCTAACCCAACTGCTCAGCAATTTCATTGAGTGCCCACAAGAAAGGGAGAAAAGTATATTTCTTTCTCTATCTGCTCTATCCAATGCAGAATAGAATAAGCCTCTGGGAACACACCCACCAGTTGTTGTTTCTCCAAGCTGAAGAGCCCCAAGCATTTTAACCTTTCTTCATAGGGAAAGTGTTCCAACCCTTTTATCAATCTAGTTGCCCTTTTCTGCACTTTTTCCAATGCTATAATATCCTTTCTGAGGTGTGGTGACCAGAATTGCACACAGTATTCCAAATGAGATTGCACCATCGATTTGTAGATTTATATGCATAATTGGCAAGGAAACTGGCTGTGTCCACTTTGTGCTTACCTTTTATCTAAGAATTTAGTGGTAATGAGATTATGTTATATGTTAACAAACTAGCACTTATTTGCATTGCTTTCTGTTGATCATCATTCGTGTTTTAACTCAAGGATGCAGTGAAGAGGTAAAGAGTTCTTAAATCTAACTAGCTGAAACAATACCTTTACAAGAGTAATAACGCCACATATACCTTTAATCAAAGAAAAATGTTTGGTTTCTTCACAGTTTCTGCAAGAATAGCTACAATGATATCTATTTAGCAAGCAATAACTGTGCTTAGATGAAACATCTTTGCTTACGCAGGCAACAGACTCTTTTGTTCCTGATAGAAACTCCAGCTTCTTGGCCACCTGGTTTCCCCTTCTGGCAGCATTCTCCTGTCCCTGCATGTCATATTCCTGCCTCTCAATGTTAACTTTTGAAGGGAGTGAAGGGCATTTTGGAGGAAAGGGAAAGAAGTACATTGGACATTAAAAACCCATTAGTAAATCTGAATTTCTCAATTGCATTTCTGTTCTGAAATACTGCAGTAGACATACTGAAAATCAGCTTTATCCATATGTAAGTTCACTTTCACCTTCCTAGACCAGATAACATACTTGTTTCTTTTGCAGATTTCACATACAAAAAATAACATCCCACACATCTCTTTGGTTTTGTTTCAGCTAAGAGTCGAAAACCTTGTCTTCTACCCTCAAAATTGGCCAATGAATACAGTTTTAAGGATTTCCACAGAAATCCTTTGTCTACTCTGCCATTGACTAAATCAATAGACGGCCTTCAGGAAAGAGAAAAAATACAACTTAGTTGTATGCATCATGTTAAAAAGAGTTGCCTCAAGCCCACTGCAGTCATGTCTCTGAAGAAGAACCGCAGAAGTTTACCAGTTGGCATCTGTCAAAGCTGTGGGACTCCAGAAGGCAACCAGAGGATGCTTATGTGGCCAAGATCTCATTCTCTGGGAGACCTCCAGGGAGAAATTGATACCAAGATAGAAGACTCTGAAACGAAGGTGGATAGTTTCCCTCAAGGTGCACTAGATCTAACAAAAAAATCAATTAGCTTCGATGGTAGTGGGCAGATGACAGAACAGTTGGTGGCTAAAAATAAAGGTGGTGCTGTTTCTCTTAAGGGAAAAGCGAAGGAACTGCCTTTTCCCACAGCCATCCCTTCCAGTGGAACATTTCCTCTGTTCCTGCCTCGGAATAGTGAAGTTCAGTCATCTTTACTTTCACGTGACATAACATGGACACTGCTTGAAAACCATAAAAAAAGTAGTTCTGATGTTGGAAGGACTGATCATTCTCCAGTCCTCAAGGAAATTAAAGAAGCTGAACAGAAGTATGTGGGTGAGGGAAGAATACTGCCAAAAACCTCCTCACAGCCACCGCCAGTCCCTGCCAAAAAAAGCAGAGAACGACTTTCTAATGGACATTGTCATCCCCCTTCAGTTCCTTGTAGTCCAGATGCGCCATCTTTGCCAGCAAAAAAGACCACCTCATCTATCCCTATTGATGCCCAAGTACTGACCTTTTGCAAGTCATCTGAACAGGAGCCCAGTAGCCCTTCATGTGTACGGCCTCCTTGGTTTTCAGATCTTCCAGAGACTTCTAGCATCCAGCAACACATCCTAAAACTAGGTCCTTCTTCTGCAAGGAAAACCTCCTGTAATAGAGGGCTGGATCTGGAAATGTTGATAGAAAATAAGCTGCTGTCTGAAGATATTGATCTCACAGAAGACCCTTATTCTGACAAGGTAAGAGAGGGAGATTTGAACACTTTTGCACATTAATTCTCCATCCCAGGCCCCCTTGATCCACAAGAAAAAGTGGGAAATAAATATTTTAATAAATGAATAAATAAATGTTATTAAATTTGCAAATGACACCAAATTGAGCAGGATAGTGAATACTCCGGAAGATAGAGATAAATACAATCAGACTTGGATACATTGGGAAAATGGACAAATGTGAACAAGATGTGGTTTAATAGAGATATGTATAAGATTTTGAATTTCGGTAATAAAAATAATATGCACACATACTGGATGAGAGATACTGTGCTGTGAAGTACCTTATGTGATGTTGGGGTTTTGGGGGACTGCAAATGGAGTATGAACAGCCAGTGTGATGCAGCAGCAAAGAAGGCAAATGTCATCTTAAGGTATATCAACAGATGCATAGCATCTAGGACATGAGGTGTGACAGTACCACTGTATACTACATTGCTCAGACCACATTTGGAGTATTGTGTCTAGTTCTGGAGGCTTTTTAATAGAAAAGACATAGACACTTTTGAGTGGGTAGGGGTGTGCAAAATAAAGTCAGTATTTTTCGGTTTCGGGTAAATCAGACCCAAAAAATATCAGTAAATGCCTAATTTCCCCAGTAAAATACCAGTAAGGTATTCAGATTTGGGCTATAATCAGTATTCCTGAATATATTCGGGTCCAATTTACACCAGAGAAAAAGGAGGAAAAGGAGGCATGTTAAAATGCCTTCTTTCCCTCTGGTAGCCCGTAGAGAGGCTCAGGGAAGAAAGAGGCCATTGTAAACATGCCTGAGTTCCCTTCCTGATCTTCTCCAGGTGCCCCGCAGCCACAGGGCACCTGGAGAAGAACAGGCAGGGAACTCAGGCATGCAAACATGCCCTCTTCCTTCTCTGAGCCTTACCTGAGACAATTTCAGAGAGGGAAAGAAAGACATTTAAATATGCCCCCCACTTCCCCAAGCTTCCCCTCCCCCCTCTGAGCTTCCACCTCCCCCCACTTCCACTCCCCACATCAGGGAGGGAAAGAAAGGCATTTAAACCCAACAGCTGACTGACAGCTCAGGCGGATCTTAGGTTTTTCGGTATAGCAAAATGAACCTGGAAAAAAGCCGGATAATTTTGGGTTCAGCTAGCCAAATACCGACAAGGTATTTTTCGGGTATTTTTTTGGTTTGGCTATAGCCGAATGCACACCCCTAGTGCAGAGGAGAGTGATAAGGAGGATTAAGGGTCTGGAGCCTAAGCCTTATGAAGAAAAGTCAAAGGAATTAGGATTGTTTAACCTGGAGAAGAGGAGGTTGAGGGAAGATATGATTACTCTTTTTAAATATCTGAAGGGCTGTCGTTTATAGGAGGGTAGGAGGCTGGAGCTTAAAACTTGTAATAATGGGTTTAAATTATGTGTGAGGAGATATCAGTGGGATATTAGGAAAATCTTTTTAACAATAAGGGCAATTCAGCAGTGGAACTAAGTGCCCAGGAATGTCGTAGGTTCTTCCTCCATTGAGGTGTTGAAGCGAAAGTTGGACAATTGTTTGTCAGAGACATATGTGCCATCAAGTTGCAACTAATTTATGGCAACCCCAGCAAGGGTCTTTCGAGGCAAGTGAAAAGGCAGAGGCAGACTGCCATTGCCTTCCTCTGCAAAATGTTCCTTGGTCATCCCCCATCCAAGTACTGACCCTGCTTGGCTGCCAACATCTGACAAGGCTGGGCTATCCTGTACCATGCCATTCCCCATCCCTGACTACCTGCTGCTGGACAGAGTAGGTAATATTGATTTTATATATAATTGTGTGTGTGTGTGTGTGTGTGTGTGTGTATTATACAGTTATATAATATTGATTTTAAATTGCTTATTATGTTTTAATTACTGGTTTTACATTGAGTTTATGCTGTTGTAACCTGCCCTGAGCCTGCTTGTGGGGGAGGGAGGGCTTAAAGCCTAATAAAATAAAATGAGTAATACTGGCCTTAACAAACCAAGGATGTGACCCAGTATTTGGCAATTTCATGCATTCATGTTCTTCCCCTCTCTGTTTGTTGTTCTGTAGAGCTAATTCATACAAGTATGTAAGCTGACAATGAAAAGGAAAAACCAAAATGCATTTGACTTCCCATGTTCCTAAGTTTGTTCATACGTTTCAGGCAACACATGAAGGCATCTTAAATGACTCCATGTGTGGACTGATAAACAGTGATTCACCATGCAGATTCTGCAGTTTTCATCATTTTACCGTAAGCCTTTCTTTTTTAGGTGATTGCCAGGCTATGTGGTTTGCTGTATCCATGTGATGAGCAGTGTTCCCTCTAAGCTGAGTTAGTGTGAGCTAGCTCACAGTTTTTTAGCCTCTGGCTCACACATTTTTGTCTTAGCTCAGGAAGGAGGGCTCCAGAGCAAACTAATTTATGCAGTAGCCAAATCACCTGCTCACAACTTTAATGCCAGCAGCTCACAAAGTAGAATTTTTGCTCACAAGACTCCACAGCTTAGAGGGATCATTGGTGATGAGCTGCTGAACACATACATGCTAAAGTAGTCTTCATATGGTGGCTGTCATATGTATACAGACGATCAGCTACATAGGCTCACGTAAAGGCTGTTCATTGCACTTCCTCACGGTAATTCTTTCTCTTTGGAAAACTGGGATTTGCAACGTTTTTGCCATTGGGGCCCCACTGTTGGCTGCCTGTGAGTGACCATCATAGCATAGCCAACTATTCCTTCCAACTCACTCTTCCAGGTTCCAAGCTGAGCATTTGATTTCACTAAAATATATATGTATCTGTTTGAATAGTCTGTTTTTCATAGTAGTGTGAAACAGAATATTGTGGAGATTTGGAGCTTAACCACACACATTGTTGAGTGCAACACAGTCAATTTGCTCCTCTGAACAGTCTTGCCTTGATGTTAGCATCTTTCTATTTTTTATCTTTCCTTGGCCCTTGAACCAGTGGATCATTCATGTCCTGCTTGAGCACCTGTGGGCATTTTCAGAATTTTGAAATCAATTCTGGATGTTAGCACAAAATTTCTGTGATGACTTCCTAAATACAGCAAGTGAAGGCACCCTCCTGACCCACTTTGGCAGGCCATTCCAAAGACTGGGCTCACCACAGAAAAGACCTGTAATCTCAGTGCAGCCATACAAACAGGTGTGGCGGGGGAGGGGAGGGGCACCCGAAGGAGGGCACTCTTTGCAGAACATAACTGGTGCAGAGGATATACTTCTCATTAAAATTGTCCTCCATTAATCGTCAGTAATCAGGAATGGGTTTTAACAATCTTTCCTGAATATTAAATAAGCATATTAAATAAGAATATTAAATAAGCAAAGCTTATCAATTATAAAAACCTAAAAGAATGGTAGACCCTTAACCAAGATTGCTTGGTGCCTTGGGTTTAAATGTCATATAAATATGTAAATATGCTTAGTTCTGTTGGATTGAAATCTAAAAGTCCTTAAACTGCTGAGCTTTTTCTGGACAGTCCCAGCACAACAGCATCTCCTGTCCTCAGGAGGGAACATCTACATCTATGGAGAAAGGAAAGAAAACCACTACTAACTAAAACCCCAAGTATAGGAGATCATAAAATGCTTACATTACATTGAACATAGTTGATTAAGCTAAATTATTTATCTTTTTAACTATTTTTAACTATTTAAAGAAAACCCCAAGAGCATCATTTATATAACATGCTTTAAGGCACCATTCAGAGTCCTTCAGCCTTCACTTTGCTTTATCTTTTCTAATCCTCAATTGGTATTCTCATTTAGGGGCAGCCGCCCCCTTTTCTGGAGCAGAATCCTTGCCGGAAGACACAGAGTCCAGTTCACCGCTAGATTTGCTGTCATTTCTTTTTTAGCGTCCTCAGCTGGTTCTCCCAGTTGCAATCTCAGGAACTCACGTGCTTTGGAAACAGAGTCAATTTTTTCTTTTTTGTCCTGCAGTTTGAAAATGTCGTCTTCAGGGATTAACCATCTGTAGGGAATGCTGTTTGTTTGTAAAAAAAGGATTAACTCTGTACTTCTTCCTCTTCTTCCTTATTTCAAATGGGATGTCTTTTAAAATCCTGATGGTGTTGCCTCCAATTTTCAAGGGTGTTCCTGTAGTTGCTTTCAGGATAGAATCCCTCACATGTCTCTTCGAGAATCTAACTACTATCTCACCAGGTAGATTATTTTTCTTGATATAGACAGAATAGGCCCTTTAGACCACATCCATTTCGCTTATAAGGTATTCCGCTTTTAAATCTGTAACTGGAGCTAATGCATCGCTCAAAAGTTGTTTTAGATTCTTATCTTTTACTTCAGGGACCCCTTGGAACCGGAGGACCAGGTTAGCTTTCTCCATTTGCAGTTGTAAAAGTTGAGATTCATCCGAAGCTTGCTTCCTTTCCAGCATTTGCACCTTTTTCTTGACTTTTTTAGAGTTGGCATCTATTTCCATTCCTTTCTCATCTGTTTGCTCCGTCTTTTTTGTAGTTTCAGACAGAGCTGCTGAGTTGCAAAGTTCTGATTTAGAGTTGTCAGCAGCTGATTGATGTTAGTCATCTGGTCCAGTAGAGGGTGCAAAGAGTCCACCAAAGGTTTAGAGAACTCAGTGGTCTCTTCCGGTCGTGGGCTCATGCTCCCCGGTGCTTTCACTTTTGGCTGTTTGTCTCTCTCCGCTTTCTTCCACGCCATTTTTATGGATTGTTTACTTTTATCAAAACTTGCTAAAGTCTCTGAAAATCGCCCAACGCCTATACGAGCTCTGGTAAGGTTCTTAAAACAGATTTCAACGCTTTTAATTCTGTCCCCCCCCCTTGCTAAATCGCTTTTTAGTTCATGCGTATGGGAGGGGCCCCTCCCCCACTCGCTTTTCTCGCCGTTCTCGGGGGGGCACTTTCTTTTTAAATTGCCAGTGTTTCACTTTCACTCGACTCACTGTTCATTGTTGGTCATACGACCTCACTCAAAATGCGTTTTAAACGCTCGATCTCCGACGCTTGTCCCGGTCAGCAGCTCTAGTTCCATTCAGACACATAGCTGCCTTGAGCCCATTCGCGGGGAGGGCGGGGTAAAAAAATTGCAATAAATAAATAAAAATAGCGGCAGGACCGTCGGGGCAGAAGAGCATCGTGCTGGTGAAGAGGCCACCCTTCAAAAGCCCCATGGCTAGGAACCTTTCACAAAGGCTCTGGGGGGGTAACGAACAATCGTCCCCCTTCCTAACCACTAGTGCGCAGACCGCACCCCTGGGAGGTCTGGGAGGTGCGTCTGCCAGCGTGTCACCATAAACCGGAAGCTCCCTGTCGTCAAGACATTCTAAAAGCTACCACATGTATTGAAGTAGCACTAAAAAATACACTCAAAAATTATATTCTCTCAATAATTTTACCAGCCATTCTAAAGAAAACATTCACAAATCTCTGAAAATGAAGCAACTCGCTTTTCAAAACTATATTTCTGTTGAACTGGAAGAAGTATACATAGACAGAAACCATTCTTAAGATACAGGGATCAATAATTTGTGCTTGATATTTCTTAATTGCTAGTTTAACACTTTTAGAAAGGCACTTAATATTTAATTAACATTTTGTTTCTTTCTTTATCTCTTTCTTTCCTTTCTGGTTAACTGTATTTCCAGCATGGTCGCTGTGGGATTCCTGAAGCTTTGGTGCAAAGATACTCTGAAGACCTAGAGCAGCCTGAAAAGGAAGTTGCTACAAACATGGACCAGATCCGGGTGAAGCAGCTGAGGAAGCAACACCGTATGGCAGTAAGTTTCCACTAAATGACCTTTATTTTAAATGCAAATGAAATGTGAGAAACCACTTCAGGCAGCAGATCTGCAATTGCATTTTTGAGTGCAGGCAGGTTTCACCTCAGACCCCTGAGCTACACAATTGACCAATTAGAGGGGGTGGGGCAAGAGCCAGCAGCCTGCCAGACACATGGAAACACATTTTGCCCCCTTTTTACCCCCTTAGGGGTTATGTTTCTCAGAAATCTCTTTGTGTGGGGGTTGACATTATGGTAGGAATGCACTCCCCTTATTTTGGGTTTCTTGGTGCAGTGGTTTGGCCTGTCATTGAATTGGGGGGGAGGGCATGCCCCCCCCTTTATTTTTTACAAAATTGTGTCTCATTTATGTTACATTTAAGAAGTGGGACATAAGTACGTATTCAAAACACCATCCAAGCAATCAGATATTAAGCAAGTTCATATGAACCAATTTTCTAGAACCCTCATTGTGAGAAGTTAAATAACCTAATAAAGGAAACCACTTTTCTACAAATTTGGGGTATATTTCCATAGTGGGTGGGAGTGTGGCTAAAGCCATTGAGGAGGCTGGGCCAGCAGCATCGCTAAGGTGATCTTGCTGGGGCAGCATCCCTGATAGATTAAAGTACCCTGGCCCTGACATGACAAACACCTGCCTGTGTGGTGTAAGGGGGGATTGTGTTTAAAGGCATCAGGGAGGGTGGGCCAGCAGCAGCCCTAAGGCAGTCCTGCTGAGCAAACCTCCCCGACAGCTATAAGCATCTCACCTCCTCTCCTACACCTGACAGGAAGTATTAGAAGCCACTGTGGAGGCTGGGCCGGCAGGATCACTAAGGCATTACTGCTGGGGCAGGCTCCCTGGTGGCTTTAAGCACCCTGCACCCACTGCTGCACCTGACAGACAGCCACCTGCGAGGTGTAGGAGGTGGGGGCCATGTTTGAAGCCATGGGGAGGCTGGGCCAGCAACACTGCTGCACCTCACAGGTGGTTGGCTATTCTTGATTTCCTCAACTGTCATTAGCTTCTCATTTATGTTACATTTATTAAGTGGGACATAACTACGTATTCAAAACAACATCCAAGCAATCAGATATTGAGCAAGTTCATATGAACCAATTTTCTAGAACCCACATTGTGAGAAGTTAAATAACCTAATACAGGAAACCACTTTTCTACAAATTTGGGGTACATTTCCATAGTGAGTGGTAGTGTGGTTAAGCTGGGCCAGCAGCATCGCTAAGGTGATCCTGCTGGGGTGGCCTCCCCGATGGATTAAAGTACACTGGCCCTGCTCCTACACCTGACAAACACCCACCTGTCTGGTGTAAGGGGGGGAGGATTGTGTTTAAAGGCATCAGGGAGGCTGGGCCAGCAGCATCGCTAAGGAAATCCTGCTAAGCAAGCCTCCCCAATGGTTTTAAGGACTCAGTGCCCCTTCCAACCCTTGATAGGCAGTTGTCCGACAGGTGTAGGAGGGGTAGTGTGTCTGAAGGCATCGGGGAGGCTCGGCCAGCAGGATTGCTAAGGAAATGTTGCTTGGGCAGTCTTCCCAATGGATTTCAATGCTCTGCCCTGCTCCTGCACCTAACAGACAACCGGCTGTCAGGTGGAGGAGGGGTCTGTGGGAGTGTGTCCAAAGCCACTGGGGAGGCTGGCCCAGCAGCATTGCTAAGGTGTTTCTGCTCGGGCAGCCTCCCTGATGGATTAAAGTACCCTGGCCCTGCTTCTACACCTGACAAATGCCTGCCTGTCTGGTATTGGGGGGGAGTGTGTTTAAAGGCATTGGTGAGGCTGGGCCAGCAGCAGTGCTAAGGCGATCCTGCTGAGCAAGCCTCCCTGACGGCTGTAAGCATCCCACCCCCTCTCCTACACCTG